GGAATTCCATTGACTGTAATTAATTTAATTAAGTAAATGTTGTATATGAAACGTGTATTTACTGTTGGATTGACTGACAGCAATTGCTATTATCATGTCACAACATTCTAATTCGCGATTTTATCAACCACTTGTCATTTTTGCGCTTTTAAATGTCTGCCATGGAGTAATTAAATTCTGGATAATCGAGGATAAAGCTATTTAAATTGCTATATACATATGTAAATTAAATAAGTGTCTAGACTATTAATTTATTAAAGGTGAATTCTTTCTTTAGAAATTAACATAATTAACACAATAGTTGTGTTGTGTGATCTCTTGATTCGATTATATTACGTTAATTCTTGGAAATTTTCACAAAACTGTTTGAAATATTTATGTCAATTGCAGAGTGACTTGTTGGGTCAAAGCTGGTTCGACATTCTACATCCGAAGGATGTCGCGAAGGTAAAGGAGCAGCTCTCGTCCTCCGATCTCAGTCCGAGGGAGCGATTAATCGATGCGAAAAGTAAGTACCTACTGTGACAATAAGTTGCTGCAGCAACTCTCTCCGAATCTCCATTCGGTTGATCAACTAGCTGCGCGCGAACGATAACTCCTCCGGTTGTGGAAACTTTTCGCCTCCAAACCATCAATTATAGCATCTCTTTCGAGACGTTGCCTCACGCTTGGCGCGTCAATCATTGCGAGCGCAAATTATTATTTTCACGCGCGCGCATCCACCTTCACCTGATAAATGTCAGTCGCTCGGCAGCATTTGCTCGCGTATAAGTCCTGTCGATAAATATCTTTGAATTAGCGTGCCTACCAGATAAGAGCATTGCGAAAGTTCTACGCCAAAGGAGACGAAGAGTCGCCGAACGGGTCTAATGTCAGGATTCCTCGGACATTACATCGCGATCTGCATATGTAATGAGAATTTTAATCCTCCGAGTATTTAAAGCTAATAATTACAACACGAAAGCCTTGTAATTAAAGGTTTCTGCGATAAAGAGAGATATGATAAAAATATAGAAGGGAAGAAAAAGATATTTGCACGAGAAATGACGATAAGTAAAAGCAAACGATCGATGGACGGACTTTTGTTCTGTCATCCCGATTGTTTCAGCTATGTTACCGGTGAAAACCGATGTGCCCCAGGGCGTATCACGACTCTGTCCTGGCGCGCGAAGATCCTTCTTCTGTCGGATGAAGCGTAAAGTCGACGGGGTCCGTTGCGGCGAGATGCAAGTGAAAGAGGAAGTCGACAATACCACTGGCTGTCATAGGCGGAAGAAGCAGCAAAACGTAGGTGAGTACGATTAATTGTCGAATTCTCGTAATCCTTTGTAATTGAGTTTGCACGCAAAATTCAGGGAAGAAAGCAAAATTAAAAATCTGATTTTGATCACATTGTGCGCGGATTAAGAAATCTTATATTTTATACAGATTGCAATTGAAGCGCAATATGACTGTTTTATCATTATGTACTCTTGTAAAATGACACAATAGCTTTTTAGAAGAAAGAAAGAAAGAATTCACGCCCGTGTCTTTCTATCAAAGACATTCAATTTTCTTTCTCGAAAAACGAGATATTTTGTAGTGCGGAAAAATATGTGCGCGACGATTCAGAGGGTTTGAAACGGAGATGTAAATCTGTCTTTCGGACACTAACTCGCACGCACGATCGGAGATATGATATGAACGATGCTTGCCACGTGGCTCGTCAAAGGTGAAAAGTGGAGACCGTACAGTATCATAGTCACCGGTGAAAGGGTCGTCGATATATTCTCATCATAAATAGCTCGTCGGCAATCATAAAGTCTCTTCTTTACTCGTCCCCTACAATTTTATCTTCTATATATAAATATATACGAAAGATATAGCGAAGCCTGTGTATAAAATAATAATACATTTATATGTTTGTAATTAATTATATAATACAGTGGAGATATATATTATTTGTAAATTTTGTGAATGCAAAATCTCAATTGATATAAATACACGTTTCAGATCGGAAGTACTGCGTGATTCAATGCACGGGTTATCTAAAATCTTGGGCGCCCGCGAAGATCGGTCTCGAGGAGCACGAAGGCGAGGTCGACGGTGAAGTTTGTAATTTGTCCTGCCTGGTCGCGGTCGGTCGAGTCCAAATGGCGATATCGACGGCTGCATTGTCATCGAGAAAACCCCATTTAAGACCCATACAGTTCATCTCACGACACGCGATGGATGGCAAATTTCTGTTCGTGGACCAAAGGTATATTGTTTAGATAAATTGTTTAAAGGCCACTATCTCGGACAATCTTCGAAGCTTTATCGTACATTTCGTGTACATATATCGATATGAAAAAAAAATCTTTCTCGGTCGTTTAGAGCTACTCCAGTATTGGGCTTTCTACCTCAGGAACTGCTGGGCACTAGTATGTACGAATACTATCACCACGACGATATTCCTCATCTAGCAGAGTCTCACAAAGCCGCGTTGCAGACCTCTGAGCGCGTTACCACACAGGTAATTAATATCAATCATTTACAATCGCTTTTTTGCAATGATACACGACTGTATTAAAATTATAACTATATCCGCCATTAAATATTCGCGTTTCCGCGATTTAATCGAGAATTATACATTTTTATGTAGATATCTCATACTACGTGACAAAACTTGTGCTATTTTTCTTGCAGTTCTACAGGTTCAGAAGTAAGGATGCGAATTTTGTCAGACTGCAATCCGAGTGGAAATCCTTCAGAAATCCATGGACCAAAGATATCGAGTATCTAATCGCCAAGAATTCTGCTATCTTGTGAGTAACGATTATGTCATCCCTCGCACATCTCGCGCGATGATATTGTATAAAGAGCTGTCTATTACTTTTTTCAGTTGCGATGCGCGTCCGAGTGGAAATAATGGATCCGGGGATTCAAGTGTGCAGGACAATTACGATTATTTTACGCAGAGTAAGTGTGAAAATACGTGCTTTCGCAAAATCGTAAGAATATTACCGAAGTAACTGAGATCGCTTTTGAACTTGCAGGTAATGGTGGATTAGAGAGACTGATCTCGAGCCACGTGGAGGTAAGTAAGATCGGTCGGCAGATAGCGGAAGAGGTACTGGACCTACAAAGACGCGGGGAAGATTCTTCCTCGGGTAGTAGTCCTGGTCCAGCTGTGACAGAGCCCGCTTTAATAAACACAGAGGTAAATATGTTTTAGGCCATCAGTCCCGACTCAAGTTTTTTATTATCTGCTTTTGATTAAAGTCGCAAATCATGACGACGACGTCGCCGGAGAGGGTACCCGACGTGTCCCAGCCAAGCAGCATTGGCAACGACAATTGTAGCAGCAATCCCACGTCAACGTTCAACCACGTAGCGAACAATGTGCAGCTCAACAGCATCGCGAATGACCAAGGTCATAGCTATTACTGTCTCTAAGGAGTCGGTTCTTGGTGTGTAGTGCGATTGCCAAAATTACTCAGAGAAGAGAAGAGATTGTAGAGAGAGAGCGAAGTTTGCGACTATGTATCTATATATATACATATAGAAAAGAGAAACGCGCTTGCGTTTTTAACTGTTTTGCTTACCGCACGGCAATGTAGCGCCGATTCTGTTGTCACACAGAACAACCGTGTATATTAGTAATATCACGCACAACGTAACATCCACTTTCTTTCAGGAGCGTCACCAGACGAGGACATGATAGATATGATTGGAGGCACCACGATTAATGAATCGCCAAATCCGATTCCCTCTGACGGCAACGACGAGGCAGCGATGGCCGTCATTATGAGTCTGCTGGAGGCGGACGCGGGCCTAGGTGGTCCTGTGGACTTTTCCGGATTGCCCTGGCCGTTGCCATAGTGTTGTACGCGTTTTAGAATGTGGATAACGAGACGCATCTTGGTCGAACAGAATGTTCGAAACAAGACTTGGTGCTGAAAAATGGTGCTTGTAAGTAATAAGAATTGTGTTAAATTAAGCAAACTGTGTAGTTTCTAAACGGAATTATCGCGATCGATTCAACTAACGACATTCTTTCAACGGAGAAAAAATAATCGTGAATTCATACAACTATGTATATAGCTATCTCTCGTCGTCAATCTTTTTGAAAAGGGGGTGTTCGTACGGCGAGGTAATTCGTGGTAGTCAGCAATGAGAAACAGGCGAATGCTGAGACGAAACCCTACATTAAAAAGTATATAGTGGTGATAATGGTGCGGACAATATCGTGTGAATAGTAATTTTAACGTTTTAGTGACAAATTGACGTTATACGTATAAATACGTAGACACGTGTGTACGTACGCGTGTGATATAACGTTTCAGTGTACCTAATTAAATTGTAAGAATATATATATATATATATATATATATATATGTTCGGAAGAATATCTCTCTGTTCTGAAGAGGCTTTTATCTAACCGAATGAAACGTCTGCGCGCAATTTTCGAAGCAATTCTTCCTAAGAATTTCGAAAAAATGTCAACCGCCAGTGAATACGAGATTCGCCGAAATATGTGCGCGCGTCGCGGTTGCTCGCGTTTAATTAATGCGTTATTGTAAAGATAAAAAATAAATATGAATATTTATACTTTAATATATGCATTTATATGCGCAAATAATAGATTGGAAAATTATAAGATATTTTTTTTGTAACGTGGGAAAATGAGCAACGCTCATCGCGCAAGCAACCGCTTGTTATTTTCGACATTCTTCGTTTTGTATTACGCTATTTTGAATGATGCCGAAAATATCGATGTGTGAACTGAACAAAGATCACCGTTAAATAGATCGTAGTTAAGTTTCATATTTTTCCATTGTTTTGTTACTGAAAAAGAAGATAGGAACAGCAATTGATTAGCTTCTCAAAGTTTGTGATTTTTTTAAAACTATATATATATAATGTGTGTGTGGTTTTCTCTCGAATATTGTTGGCTATCAATGAAATACGAAAGGATGAAAAACAATCATGAAGTACAAACAATCTCGAAAATAAAACTCTTAAACTCAATGAACATATAGGATAAGAGATTTCTTTTTTTCATTATGCAAATCGCTTTCCGGATTATCGGGCTAGAAACGCAATATCTGTCGTAAAGTTTAATTTATAACATTAATCTCCTGAGGAGCAAAGTATACATCTAATGCCACAATTATATTTTATTTTGCCATGACGTACGATTATCGAATCAAAAAATATATTATAATAATATGTTTATAAAAAACGCGAATGTGTGTGTTAAAGTAATATAAGAATTCTAATGTACATAATATAACATTCTGCTGTAATTTATTGTCCAACATTAAAAAAAGAGATAAATATTTACATCTTGATACGTTGACTATTCGGTATGAATAAATTTGGTGCATGAATTCTTTCTCTCTCTCGGACTAATCCGAAAAATTGCGAAAGTTTTTCTCTTGTATAAAAAAAAAGCTTAAACTCTTTAAGAATACACTGCAGATATACATGTCTAATATCTTTCTTATGTATAGCACAAAAACAAAAAAATTATTTGTGATTATTTACAGTAATCAGTATACATTTACAGTAATACAATATACATTTGTAGGAAAAATTACATAATTCTCTGATTAATCAACGATGATAGTACATAGTTTCAGAGCTAAATGAAACAAATCTTCGATTCGCAGGGTACATGACGACAATTACGTTGTGTACGTTAAAATAATTTGTATCTATTAATAAAAATATTTTTATGTTTCATATTACATGTATGTACCACTTTGTACATAATTATTTCGTCTTATCATCAAACTTATCGTTGATCCGTCAAAAAATGTAAAGTTATCATACAAATTAATTAAAAAAATAATTATATTGCCATACATTTTTACTTTCCTCGCAGTATGAACATAGTCGGAGAGGAAACCAAGTCTATGTGTTATATCAGAGAGGTTGCATCTGTGTACGAGTATTGGTATTTCTAGTATCAGTTAGAAAATAGTTTACTCAAACTTTTTCTGCTTTTATTTTAATAGGAATTTTAAACTCTACATCTGAATCAAATTTCTCAGCTTTTATTTTGATATGAGTTTTTGATTCTGAATCCGAAAATATGGATGTTTTTTTTCTCTTGTAACTTTCTAAATAATCAGATGCAGCTTCACTCTCTGTATCAATCTCAGGAGACTTCTTGCGTTTTTTTCGCTGTTTAGTCCTCTCTCTGTTGGAAGTAGCATCTTCTGATATTTCATTGGTTAATTTTTCAATTTTAATAATTCTATCCTGATTGTAATTTTCAGCACTGTTTGTATTATGGATATTATCTTCACATTTAATATTTTTGTGAATATTGCTATCTGTATTATTGTTCAATTTAGTTGCATTCTTATCCTCAGAGATAGATTCTGGATCAATCTCATGATATTTCTTATGTTTTTTTCGAAATTTCTGTTTTTTTTTATCAGAAAAAGCATCATCTTCCAATATTTCCTTCGTTGAACTGTCGATTTTAATAGTGCTACTATCCAGATTGTTGCTTTCAATAGCACTATCATGAATATTATCTTCACATTTAATATTTTTGTGAATATTGCTGTCTGTATTGTTGCTCAATATAGTTTCATTCTTATTGTCAGAGATAGATTCTGGATTAATCTTACGATATTTCTTATGTTTTTTTCGAAATTTCTGCTTTTCTTTATCAGAAAAAGCATCATCTTCCAATATTCCATTCATCGAACTGTCAATCTTAATAATGCTACTATCTAGATTGTGGCTTTCAATAACACTATTATGGATATTATTTTCACATTTAATATTTATATAAATATCACTTTCTGCATTATTATTCAATTTAGATTTATTTTTATCCTCAGAAGTAGATTCTAGATCACTTTCACTAGATTTCTTATGTTTTCTTCGGTATTTTCTTTTCTCTTTTTCGGAAATAGTATCGCTTTTTAATATTTGATTGGTTGAAGTATCAATTTTGATAGTATTATTCAGATTTTGATTTTCGATAATACTGTCTGTATCATCATTAATTTCACATTTGATATACCTGTAAATATCGTTCCCTGTATTGTTGCTTGATTCGGTTTTTGTCTGATCTTTAAAACAAGATTCTGAAGCAATTTCATTGAACTTTTTATGTTTCTTTCGGTGTTTCTTCTTCTCTTTATCAGAGACTGTATCATCTTCATTGATTGAATTGTCAGTGCTATTCACATCATGTCTTTCAATAGTACTATCCGTATTATTATCTTCATATTTAGTATTTTTAAAAGTATTAATCTCACAAGACTTTTTATGTTTCTTTCGACGTTTCTTCTCTTTAGCAGAAATATTATCATCTTCTGATATTTCACTGTTTGTCTTCTCAAGCTTAATAGTACTATCTAAGTTGTGGTTTTCAATAACATTTTCCATATTATAGACATTATTTATGCTCTGTGATAATCTGCAGCCTTGCAAATAATCAGAATTTAAAGTGGCACAGATAAAAGGAGGCTTACTCTTGTTGTCTACATGATTTATGCAGCATCTTATTTCTTGACCAATCTCCACCGAATCTCCTAACCATTCCTCCATATTATCCGGTTTTGGAATAGATATAGTATATATTTTATGCACTAGGACTACAATATGATCCAAGCCTTTCTTGTTCACTATACCTATAAATCAAAAATATTTTTAAATCTCTTTATAATTAATTTTTAAGTATATGATAATCAACAAAAGTATAATTTACCTTTTAGAAAAGATCCAACCATTGGACGAAACAAATAAAAGTCTGCTTCTATATCAACATGGATAAAGGGAGAGTCATAGAGTAGCTCCCCAAAATTACTAAGTAATTTCGGATTTTTAAAAGCGAGCATAAATCCATTCAATCTAAAAAAAATACAGAATTGTTTAATTAAGTTTTATTGTAAATTTTACAATATTTGTTATTTGTCAGACAAATCTTAATATATATTCTTAAAAAGAGAAAAGTTTATATTTATAATTTTACAATAGAACTAAGTATGCAATTATTTGTGATGCTACTGAAACATACAAGGAATGAATATAACGAAATAATAATAACAAAGTAGCAACAAGAATAATCATATTAATAATATAAATCCGACTTTCTTTCTATTTTTCACTTTTTTAAACATTAAATCCTGATTTAATTAACGTTTATGAATGAATGATAAAAAACACTTCAAATATGAAAGATATAAATAATATACTGTGTTTTCTTTTATAAAATACATAAAATATATGTAAAATATGAATGTATGTGTAATATTACATACTCTTTGTCGTAGCTGTTCAATGATGATTTTAATATTTGATTCAGACCTCGCTGAATGTTAATTAAATGGTACGGATGTAACGCGAGATGCTTGGTGGTTCTCTCAAAGTGCACGTGAGCATTCTCTTCTTCCAAGAGTCCGGTGAGTTCCAGCAAAGACCATGTTATTTTTTTATTTGTCTGAGAATCCATTTTGCTTCGAAATCGCGCGAAATAACGTAGAAACACGAGGTTAAAATTGCACGGTTAGAATCAAAAATTGATAATCAATTCACTCACCCACACTACGCCGCATTAATGCATACTAAAGGCTGCTATGCATGATTATACATGAAGTCTATCTATATATTCCATGTCTATGGAAATCACATGTAAAATAGGGATAAGTTCCGACTGACAACGTGTCGGGTTCGGACGAGTTTTTGCGTGCTGCGTATGTCCTTTGTCTGGACCTTTTTTTAGACTCCCCCCTCTCTTAGAGAAGTTTTGCTTATATTCTACAAACCCATAAGAAACAATGGTGTATGGGCGACTAATGCCCAACCAGCCATAAAAGAAAGAAGAAGTAAAATAGGGATATTATCAGTTCTATTTCACCAGGGAAATATGTAGGAAACGAAACTAGTAGTTCACGGTCAGCCAACAGAAATCGCCAGACAAGATCCTAGGGCTGGTATTCATTGTCCGTTCCATAGACATAGTATATCTAGACCGAGTGTTGAGGAGTGGGAGCCAAGGTGCACGTAAAAAAAAATGGTACGGATGCAATGTGAGATGCTTGGTGGTCCTCTCGAAATGTACATGAGTATCCTCTTCTTCCAAGAGTCCAGTGAGTTCCAGCAAGGACCATGTTATTTTTTTATTTATCTGAGAATCCATTTTGCTTCAAAATCACAAAATTGCGCGATATATAACATAAAAACACGAGGTATAATTGCATGGTTAAAATCAAAAATTGATAATGAATTTGCTCACCTGCACTACGCCGCACATGATTATACATGAAGTCTATCTATATATTTCATGTCTATGGAAATCAACGCATGTAAATAGGGATATTATCAGTTCTATTTCACTAGGGAAATATGTAGGAAACGAAACTAGTAGTTCACGGCCGGCCAACAGATATCGCCATAGTCTCAGAGCTTGACATTTCTCATATTCAATTGTTGGTTACTCTGAAAATTACTTTTCACAACAAACACAAGAACGAACAATAAATAAAATTGCATATATATTGTTGAATTCTTGGTTTTTCGCCTATTGTTATACAAGTAAGTGTCATGTTATACAAGTAAGTAAATACTGTGCTAACTTTAACACCAAGTCGTCATAATTAAATCGGTAGTATGAATTCGAAGAAGATTATAACCTTTGGCAAGATAAGCGCCAATTTAGAAAAACCGGCGACCGAGGCATCTGTCGAAGTCTCCAGCTCTGGATTCGGCACGTTTGGCAAGAAACGTGAAGAAAACAATGTAAAGAAGATGGAAGAGATCAAGCCGGAGGACGAGGAAGAGATTCAAAATATGCAGAAGTTGATGGGCATTACAGGTTTCGGTAAGAAAGCCAAGTCGTTCGACGTACAGGAAATGCTGGAGAACATCACTAAGACCATCAGCAGCAATAAAGCAACTGCACTTGTGACGGACAAGTCTTCCGACGAAAATACCGAATCCAAGAAGAATGACAACGAAGAAATCGACGATGACGACGATTTTATTGGCCCACCGTTACCATCTTTGTTGCCCGTTAATTCGAATGCGGAAAAGAAGAAGGATGTAGAAAAGAAGAATGACGAGAGCGACGATGATGACGACGAATCGTCCGATACCGAGGAAGAAGTAATGCTAAGTGACAAAATTCCCTGTACTCACGAGGTCTCAATGACTCACGGCACCAAAGCGGTCATCGCCATCGCTGCAGATCCATCCGGAGCTCGATTAGCATCTGGATCCGTCGACTACGACGTCTGTTTCTGGGATTTTGCCGGTATGGATACATCCATGAAGAGTTTCAGGACTTTGCAGCCCTGCGAGAATCATCCTATCAAATGTTTGCAGTATTCCACGACTGGAGATGTGATACTAGTGATATCTGGATCGGCACAGGCGAAAGTTTTGGATCGGGACGGCTTCGAGAAGTGCGAGACTGTGAAGGGAGATCAGTATATTACAGATATGGCACGTACAAAGGGTCATACCGCCAGTTTGAACAGCGGCTGTTGGCATCCGTTTACTAAAGAAGAGTATCTGACCTGTTCACAAGACAGTACTTGCAGAATATGGATTTTATATAGACCGCGCGGGCATAAAAATCTGATAAAATGCAGAGCGCAGAATGGTGTGAAAACTATACCGACCACCTGCGCTTATAGTCGAGAGGGTGCAGCTATCGCGTGCGGATGTATAGATGGTTCGATTCAGATGTGGGATCGCAGAAAGAATTTTGTGAATCCATCTCTCATGCTGAGAGGCGCCCATGCACAAGGTAACGAGATATCAAGCTTGAGCTTTTCGTATCTTGGACAGATGCTAGCGAGTAGAAGTTGTGATGATACTTTGAAATTGTGGGACTTACGAGCGTTCAAATCGCCAGTCTTTGAAGCAAAGGGATTGTTTTCACGTTATGACACAACAGATTGCATGTTTAGTCCAGATGATTCAATGATTGTTACTGGAGAATCGTTGAGTAAGGGAAAAACGACTGGCAGACTGCTATTCTATGAGAGTAAGACATTTGATCTAGTCAGAGAAATCCCTGTGACGAATTCACACGTGATCAAGACTTTGTGGCATCCAAAATTGAATCAGGTGTTTGTTGGTTGTGGCAATGGCATTGTCAATGTGTATTACGATCCCAAGAAGAGCATGAGAGGCGCCAAACTGTGTGTCGTCAAGACACACATGAAACAGAAACACATTGAGATAATGTCTACCCAACAGATTATAACACCTCATGCGCTTCCTCTGTTCCGCCAGGATAGACCAAAGTCAGTTCGCAAGCAGATGGAGAAGGATAGGCTGGATCCAGTCAAATCGAGGCGTCCTGATCTACCTATCACTTCCGGACAGGGTGGCAGAGTAGCATCTTCCGGAGGAACGCTCAGCTCTTACGTCATACGCAATCTTGGATTGAGTAAACGAATAGAGGATGATCAAGACCCTAGGGAAGCCATTCTGAAATATGCGAAAATAGCCGAGGAAGAACCGTACTGGATCGCACCCGCATACAAGACAACGCAACCGAAAACAATTTTTCAAGCTGACGATCAAGATAGCGGACCGAGTAATAAAAAACAAAAGATATAAACTTGTATTTATTATGTACATTGTGTAACTTGTAATTATATTCAACAATTTAATTATGTACAGTAGGATTTATATATGAATTAATTAAATGAAGATCTAACTTTATTAAATATGTATTATAAAAGTTATACATGTTTCGTAAGAATCTATTGTATTTACATTATATTGGATATTTTTTAATTTTATATTTGATAAATTTTTTTACAGGGATTGCACATGATTTTTATTTATATTTTATTTTTATTAGAATTTTTTGCACGTATATCTCTGACATGTATGATATATTACTTATATATACAGGGTGTCCCAGATCATTTGGGACAATACTCGTGTGCAGATAGAGCGGACCAAACTGAGTCGAAAAATCCTCTATCATTTTTTTTTATAACGCTTAATAAAGGAGTTATTATTGAGTTAAGTCTGGCCAATCAGCGCCGATCTTTAGCCGAGCGCACGTCGGTGAGCCGCTGATTGACCAGACTTAACTCAATAATAACTCCTTTATTAAGCGTTATAAAAAAAAATGATAGAGGATTTTTCGACTCAGTTTGGTCCGCTCTATCTGCACACGAGTATTGTCCCAAATGATCTGGGACACCCTGTATATATATTTATATGTACATATATATATTAATTTTTACAGATATTTTGCAGTCTCAAGTTAAAAAACTCACCGTATAAAAAAGCACCATCCCCATCAAACGGGCCCGCTGCTTCCCGGATGATCTTATCGTAAATAGACTACGGCAAGAATCTCGCAAGAATATTTAGTTTAGCGTTTCTCGAATGCCCGACAGACAGTCGTCGTCACGTCGTCACATCCTCCGTATTCGCGGCGACTCTAACATCGACGCCGCGAGTACGCGCAGCGCCACCACATTATAAATATACTACACGAGAATGAGAAAATACGTATGTGTATATATATATATATATAATTATACTTTCTTTATAAATAAAGGATACATGTATATATATCATTTATAAAAATTAATTACTATACGCACAAATATACATATTCGCACTTATATACTATATATGCATACAAATATATTTTATAAACACATACATACACGTATTACTGCAGATTGCGCATGCGCAAAAGACCGGAGGAAGGACCACTGATTTTGTGTTTTTCTCAGGAAGGGACTATCTATAATCTTATACGTCTATGGTTTACGAAGGCAAACGGCGATAAAACTGGCCCGCATTTTTTCAATATATATATAGAAAAATTTTCAATAAGTTTTCTATATTTGTATTCCACATCTGAACATACATTCGTCTCTTCAATTTTAATGCAGATATTTCTAAGGGCAAAATAAATAGAAGTGATGGCTAAGAGAAGGACTATTAATCGATTGTCCAAACAATTTTCCAAAAATAAATCAAATGATTCCATCAGCTCTAGATTTCTCGATCCGGAAACAAGCATTATATCTGAAGGTAAGAATATTTTCCCTTTGTTTTTCTACTTTATGTGACTTATTAAGTACTTTATTTTTTGTGAACTGAATTCGCGAACAAAGTTTTAATGAAATTTCAACAATATAATATATTTTTTTACAGAGTCAGCACATTGGTGGAAGAACTTTGACGAAAATATGTCTTCGCAGCATTCCTTAATATATAATAGTAGAAATGAAACACCTCAACAACTGAATCTTGATTCGGAATTAGAATCTAACCACAACACATCACAATGGTGGAAACATTTGGAATCCCCTAATAGTAGAAGCAATACTTCAAGAAGATCGAGACCGAACTTAAGTGCAGGTATGATTTCGCAAAACAATTTTATAATGTGAATGTTATAATACTAATAGGATATATATATATATATATTTTTTTTTTCAGCAATAAATACAGATAATATTTTGGAAACTTCAACATCTGAATCAGAAAAAGAACTCAGTTTGAGAAAGAGAAAAGTTCCATTGAGAGTAGCAAGTAGAAAGAGTGATAGTAAGGCTTTTTTGGATGCTTTAAATAATACCGAAGTAGCTATTCCAATAAAATGGCGAATGAAACAAACACGGTATTCCAATTTGTATAGCAATTCAGATAAAGAAGTCTCGGAAAAGAAGTTAGATGACAATAAGGAAGGTAATTCAAATTTGAGTTTAAGTCCAAGTCCAAATATTTTGAAATCAAAGCCACATATTTTTAAGAAAAGAAGGGATGAAGGGCCAAGTGGTGAAAATCCCTTTCAGGATATAGTAAAAGAAGATGATAGTTTAAATGCTAGGAAAAAATCTGCCACATTTGAAAAAAAATCTTCAAAACGTTCAATACATCAAAATATTAATACAAATAAGGATCGTATTGATGATCAAAGGGAAGCAATACAAGTGTCGCAAACATTACCACTGGAGAATAATGAAGCTGGTCCTTCAAATTTATCAACTTCGAATACAATGCTTGAAAATAATGATGCATTTGATATTAATAAGACTGTTGAAACTAGTGATGAAAGCGATCTTTCTGAAATTAGCAAACGTAAACGTTTTAAATTTAAATCCCATCTTATGCAACGCGCGCGAAGAAGTATGAGTAATGATCCTTTTAAAGATGTTCTTGAGGAAAACAGAGATACATCTTTGTCTAAACATAATCAGGATAAGGAGATTGATATTCATAGTGCAACATCTCCATTAAAAACAAAATCATTAAGCAGTCCTTCGAAAAAGATTGTTAATAGATCTAGGAGGACATCTAAGACTGATGTCACACATGAAAACATGCTCGCAAGTTCACCTATTCGTAGAAGCCCAAGATCTTTAAAAACGACTAAGAAACATTCGTTAGACATCACAGCACCAGTCCAAGATAATATTGAACAAAATACAAGTAATTCATCTTTAGATAATAATGAATTTCACTTTAAAAAGCCTGTACATTTGAAGCTGAAATCAAAAATTCCAATCTTACATAAAAAAAACCTGACTAATCCATTCAAAGACATACTTACGGAGGATAGCAATATCAATGCAAGAAAGAGTAATATTGATGTGCCAGCTGAAGATAATCGCATTTCTGTTGAACAAGATAAAATTACAACAGAAATTAGTCAAGGACATGAACAGGTAATGGTGGAAAATTATCCACTATCAAAAACAGGAAGTGTAAGTGAAGATTCTGATACATCTCTTATAATATCACCATCAAAAAATGTGGAAAATGTATCAGAAAATCTTAATGTGCAACCAAATAGACTCTCAGAAAGTAATGACATCATGAATGTATCAAAATCTAATTCACAAAGAAACATAATAATTGAAGACAGATCTAATGTATCACAAAAGAAACGACTTTCGTTTAGTCGTAAATCTATAAGAGACATTTCTGAAATTTCGAAGGACCATACAAATGCAATTTCGTTCGCTGATAGAACAAATATTAATGAGATAGAAGCACGTAAAGTTACAAGTGATCACAAATCTTTTATAACGAAAGATGCATCATCTACATCGAATGTTCGGAATTTGCTAACTTCGCAATTTGTCAATGCTGAGAATTTTGAGAAGATTAAGGCGGAGGTAGACAGATTAAAGATTCGCGAGATGGCCGCGATAAAAATGGCTACCGAAAAGAAAGAATCTGCGTTAAAAGCGACAACTGTGAAACTTTTTGGTGCTACACGTAAACAACCTACGAAGAAGAACATTTCTCCAAAGGTAGTGGATAAGGCATACCTGGTAAATGGAAAAGTGTACAAACCACCAAGGCTCCCTCGTCCAAAACACTGGGCTACGGATCATCTTTATAAGTTCTTGTGGAAACACATGGAGCCGAAGTATCAATTGTCGACTAGAGTGCGATCCGAGAAATTCGTGGTGCTGCTGTCCAAGATAGTATCCATCATAAAGCGCCGTAAAAAGTATGAGAATTACAAGCTCGAATTAGAAGCCCTGATGAAGGAGATGGCTCGTTTAAACATCATCAATACCCGTAACGATTTTCATCATTTCTGTCAGAATTTTTTGCCGTACGAGTTTCGCATTAAAGTGGTTCCTATGTTATTGCCTGGCAACAAGCAAAATATTCCTTTTGATCCAGAAAAATTGCACATTCCCTTGCTTGAGGAAACCTAACGATTTGAACTATAACGCGAAAACATGATTCTGCAATGAGATAGAATGTTATATATGAAGTGTTTTTTGTTCAAGCTCTTAATGTTCATATGTCTTGTATAAAATTGCGTCGATTGCCGTATATATATAATTAATCCATGTAAAATAATATTATATAGAATAGATAAATGATAATATATTTTTGATAAATCTAAAAGAAAATCTAGAATATATAAAAAAATATTTTCTTTCAGATTTGTTACTTGAAAGTACAGATAATCGATTTTCGTTTTAAGTAAGATAAAAAAAACAACCGCGAAAGACATTAAAAAATAACACAAGTTTTGCATATAAACTATACTGTTGAATGAACATGGATATTTTTATTTATAATATTATATATAATACTGTCATTTAGTCAAAAAATACAAAAATTACAAGCAACAGTAGAAGACGGACTTTATTTGTTTAAGTAAGTCCGTTGATTAAAATATTTACATAATATTGCAGGAATCTTATATAAATACACAATTCTCTTTTATGTATATATATATGTATTTTGAATTTGTATCTCGTGTCATTTCAATTGTGTATATGTGTTATATGCGTTAAGTATTAATAACTATCATATATGCGATCGAACGGGCCGGAAATTATTTGTACATCGCGCGCGCGAACAGCCAATATTTGTGCTCTCGCTGTCTCTGTCGGCGCCCCATTTGGCATGCGTCCCTCGGACACGTGTGACGTTCGATACGCACTATTCCCACGCCTTCGAGAGATACTCGTATTTCCATTTTAGCCACTTTAACCGATCCGATGTGTATATATCGCGTGTTTATTTACTTATTCCGGTTAACGTGCGTATGTCGTGCCTATGTTATATATAAATCTATTGTGATCTCTGCGGGATTATAAATACCATCCTAATCGTTAGCTCTGTACGATAATCTCTTCCCGCGCGAGCAAACAATTCTTGTTTTTCCTCGGCGTTCACAACAAAAATTATTCATATGTTGCTTTATGAGTATGGATGAAATAACATTAGGTGAATTGTCGATTGATACACAAGAGTTATTATAAAATCTTTTTTTTTCTTAAAATGAAGTAATTTATTAGGACATTAAAAACGTGTGAAATAGTTCAAATAATTATTACAGCTTTTCCGAAATAGCGATTGATATAAATATACGAATCGACGTGTTATAAAAATAAACACTTGGCATCTAACAAGTTTAAGATTTGCTACCTTATGATTCCAGTAATATTTCCTTTCATTCGATATATTCGAAAATATAAATAATTGATTCCTGTTTTAAGTAAATTTGATTAGACGAGCTTTCTTCTTATGTGGAAATTATATTTTAAATTTCTGCCAAAAAACAAATTTATTATACAAAGTTATATAAACTTGTAGAATGAAAAATATACGCGAATATTACAACAGCTTGCGTTTCGCTTGTGTTACGAGCTTATAAGTACTTTAATTATGCGGGCGATAGTATCGCGTCAATAAAATGATATCGTGGCATTTCACCGACTTTGCAAATATTTGCGACAAATCGAACTTTGCGTTGACGTAACAGCGCTCACGCAATTCGTGTGACGCGTACGAACGTGGATTAGCTTCAAATTTGTGCAATGTATCTGTTAGCTAACAGGGGATTACCGTGACCTCCTGACCTCAGGAAATACGTAGGATTTTCTGTGTTACGTAGATAATTTCGATAGTATTGATAAAATAACAAATCTCGTCCCCGACAATAAATTTAATGTTACTTTCATTAATTAAATTACTGTTCGAATAGGTAGTATTTGCATTGTTTGTTTGAAGTTCATTAATTTTTTTATTAATGAATCCTGCTAAACGAGATACATATCTGCGAAAAGTTTAATCCTATTGATTTTCTTTATCTAATATATAACTTGTCTTTTTTCAAATTTTCTCGAAATGACCATACTCCCTCTTCTCCCTAAGGATTTCCAGATCCTTACGGAGGGAGTACAGGGTGCGTTTGTTCGCGAGGGCCGAAAGAAACGAGAAATAGTAACACGATCTTGCATTAATTAATCGCGCGAGGCTCTCAAAGGCCGGCGGGTGCGGTAGTCTCCGGTTTGAAGTTTCTAATCTCTATAATGGAACAGCCGCCTCAATTAGGCGGGACTTATTTTCGCCGGGCCGCGATGTTTGAGCGCGCATTTGTGTAGCCACGCGACCGCGCCACGCGTCGCTCGTTATACCCCGATGGTCGCCTATGGCGATTGTTTCCCCTCGTCCGCGAAAAAATGATTGCCCGGTTCGCGTTGCAATAATCGTAAAACGGTTTCAGTGAATCACGCAAACGACAGATTTGCCTCGATGACGGATCCGTTTGCCGCGGACTTTGCATCGCAATCACGGTCCATTTCATGTCGAGAGGAGGAGATTCGTACATAATATTTTCGCGAAAACTATTTTATTTTGTCTATATATATATATTTTTTTTTGTCTGTGAATATATTATATTATTGATTATATATTATTGGTTTTCGCACGAGAATAAACTTTAGCGATAGCGTTAAATAACGCCAGGTTGGGGAGATTAACGGAACCGGGGGTCTGATTAACGAATCGAAGTGTACTTATGATTTCAATTCCGGGGAGCGATCTTTTCACGACGACGTGGCATCGACGGTGCGCTCGAATGTTATGACAATTATGAGTTTTTCGTGGGGCCACTCGGGGGCCGGGGGCGGCACGTGGCCCCCGACGTGTGTCGGAAGGGGGAAGGAGGGGGACACGCACGGCGCGACGCGTGCCGCCGCGTGAGAACGGCCGCGCTCACACGCGTCACACGCACACGCCACGCACGTGTGTGCAAGCAGCCGCGAGATAAAGAGAAAGAGAGAGAGAAAGGAAGAAGCGTGTGTGCGTGCATCGCTTTACCGGGATTTACTCTTGCGCTCGCTCTCGACTTCTCGCTCGTTGCCTTAGTTTAATTCATCCCGAAGCGCCGATTAAATTTCGTTCACGTGCGCTCGCAAGATATCTCTCATTCTCAAATAATCTATTGTTTAGATAAATGCGTGTCTATTGAAAAGATTTTTTTTACATTTTATATAATCATCGTTATATGTTTCTTATATTATATTTTTCAAGTAATATAATAGATATTATATAATATTACACTTATTATAAAAAGTATATGTGCAATTTAATTACAATTTATGTAATATTGCCCATGTAATATATTGACGATATATCGATCACATTTCACATTATTAATATTTTTTAATATATTGCATCCGGTAAATATATATCCGAAAATTAATAACAGAGTTGCCGTTTAATCTCATATTAAAAATGCTTTTTGAGATATGCAGAGAAGAGAGATAATAACATACACACATATATTGAGATATACATGTACAGACATATATAATGGATGCAACTTAAATGTAATTAAATCAATCGGAATTAAGATAAAATTATCACATATCAACGTCTTGTCAATCGGCGATTGTGCCTTTCGACGAATTCTCGTCAATCATTCGTAGATTATAATCCAATTCGTTCTTATTCTCATCTCTATTCCCCACGGGTCATTGAGCACTCTCGTTCTATATTCTTTCATATTGCAGATGGATTTTCACGCACGCGTACCTTCTTTATTGAATTGTGCATTGATTATTCGCTGTATCTTGCAATCTCTTGTTAGGGATAGATAAATCATGCGTTAGTTTTATTTTTCCTTTGTTAATATTTCATAATTTTTACGAATTAATAAATTGTCAAACATACATTATATATAGCATATCTTGATATAAATATTTATATTAATAATCTTGATATAATATTTATTTAATTAGACTCAAAAGATTCGACAATGAAAATTATTAGAATTTGTACGATCGAAAAATCTAATAATTTTTTGATTTTTTAAATCAATTTTTTAATTTAAGTAACGGCAAACATATTTTCCGTGTTCTTTGTAAAAATCCTCAATTGTAAATAATTTGTAGTACGCAATCTGTAGATTGAGATACGTTAATAGACATCTCTCTGTTCGCAGTATTTAACTTTATCAATTAAAATGATCCCGGCCGGAGATGACGGCGCCGTGAAAATTACAATTGCGTTAAGTCAATCGTAATTACCGGTCGCACATTAACCTTTCTATCTTCGTAAGGGTTAATTGCCTCGAGCGTACCACAAGAGGAAAGCATTTCCGCAAGAGATTGTACGGAGTTGGGATGCGGTTGATATACCCGCGAGCTCTCGCGTTCGGGGATGATCGTGCGGGATCGGACGCGGAGTCTGGGGCTGAAGCCGAGGTAATAAATAGAGCGGCTCGTCGATCCGGAGCGGTATTTCGTCGCGTGACGCCGTGGCGTGTACGCATCGATCCACAGGCCGACGACGGTGGTGCGGGGCGGATAGGCGCAACCACGTCCGAAAATCAATCCCGTGCACGCGTGTATCGTACTCGCGCGCGCGACGACGAGGAAAATAATCGGCGCGGCTGCTCTCCTTCTCGGGGAGGCGAGAAAGACGGTGACATTGACGTCGGAACCGGCCGCGATGCTGAAGAAATTCCTCGGCAAGTCCGGCCGCAGGATCCTGCGGGTAAGCCGTTATCTGTCAACGGACGTTAATCGGCTCTTCTCCTCGATCATCTCTTCGATCGACTGTTGCACGCATGCACGCACGCACGCACGCACGTTTCTTTCGGGCGCATATTGTGGCCTAATTCCATCTGGACATACATGATCGGTTTTGCATATTTTCTCGACTCGATTAAAGGGCGCAACGTTCGTTAACACGAATTTTACGCGTCTTGTTTTGCGTCGTGCAGAATTACGACACATGGTATGGTTTCGTTTACGTCATTCCATTTAGGTGTAAAACTTCCGCGCGCGGTTGAATTATCGCGAATCGATGTTCTTATAGGTACGCGTCGTTGGGTGATTTCGAGTAAACGAGCTATGTCACGTAATTACAGTGAGAACTCGCGTCGACCTTTCCCTGCGAAAGGGTGCGTTCCATTTCTTCCCCTCGTTATTTAAGAGAGCGATGTATTATCTTTTTTTCTTTTTTACTTTACAGGCGATCAAAAAGCTGTCCACCAGGAGTCATAAGGCCAAAAAGTCGCGCAATCCCAGTTCCTGGCACACGGCCATTCCGGACCTCGAGACGACCTCGCTCTCGTGGTCCCTGCCGTCCTTAGACACCAAGAGTATCGACACCTATATGACGTACGTCGCCGAGAACCAGGAGGACTGCATGTCGAGTTGTTGCTGTTGCGACGAGTACGAGGAGAACCAGAAGAACGAGAACAGAGAGAACGAGATGATAATCTAACATCCGTGCTCATAAGCGATACGTATCGCACGCTCGTTTGTCTCGCTATTAAATTCGCCGGCAATCGCATGCCGTCCAAAAGGGTGGCAAAGAATCGCGGGTGTACGATTCTTAACGATATTTAACCCTTAACCGGTGAGTATACGAGTATGTCATTTTTATTTTCTGGACAGTACTTCTGTTAATGCAATAGCGGCACCAAAGAACATGCTCGTCGAGAACTCGGTTAAGGGTTAATCACAATCCATCCGTAATCCGTTCCACGCACAGGGAGCGTTTTATGCTCTCTTTTATTTTTTGAGATGTATCATATCGTCGAGATGAGGGGGGATGAAAGATAGAAAGAGAAATTCTACAGACCTTGGATTATTATAATCATCGTATCAGACGATTTTTCAACATATTATCGTGAGATAAGAATGCGAAGAAGAGGTGATGCTTTATTTCCAATTAGTCTTCCAACACTAGATTTATCAATTTATTTTATAGTTTGCATTCTGATGTTTGCGATAATTTTGATCTCATTTAGCCGCATAACTTCGTCGATAATAGATGCATTATTTATTTATTGTCATACACATTCATTTCATTACAATTACAATAGTTTAGTTATGATTACGCAAACGCGGTTATATTAATAATTAAATTAGTTGTTGGTTTAATTTATTCAGTTCAACGATCGTCTTTTTTTCCCACATTTTATCGTACAAGAAAGAAAGAAAGTGCGACGTTTCTTCTCTTTGCGCGTCATCATCACTTTCAATATAGAGAATAGCAATATGTGACGTAGTACAAAAAAATATATATCGCCTAGCGTGTTATCAATCACGGAAGAATGACGTTCGAAATATAATAGAACTTTTCCACTTATCATGTGATTTTATCACATCGAGTCTAACTCACAGATTAGTTTTTTGCAAGATATTATTTTTTTTTTTGATATTGTGCACTGTTTCGGGTAATCAATAATTTATTTTCGCGCGAGACGCTCGAAAGCTACACCAAAACCGCACGTGACAGAGCCTCCTCGCTGTGTCCAAATAATTTATTTATGATCGTAAGAAAAGAGATTTCGCAGAAAAATAAATTTTAATCATTAGAATAATAATTATAAATTAAAATTATAATAAAGAAGATTAAATTATTTACTTTTTTACTTAAATTATACGTGTACTCGCATACATCTTTTCGGATCAGTCGGATATCGATGAAAAATTTCATCATGAATCTCATGTTGGATACTCTAATTTCCCCCGCTAGTTATCAGTGAGAGGGAATCCGACTTTGTAACTCGATGTCGTCACGCTGATCGTCCTAGGTTTTCAATATCTTGCGCGTTCATAGTGCGCCCGTTAGATTATAGTTAGTCGATACAACTGATCCTCGATATAGGTAAACTCATCATATTTTTATTTCGAGGAATGAACATCGTATATTTCGCGAGAGGTAAACGGCATTAAAAAAAAAATAATATACTTAAATGAACGGATTTTCTCTTTTCTGCGATTTCGTTTTAATTCTTTTCGACAAATCCGAGTTACTGGATATCGAGGATGTTTACGCAATAAATCGCACCGGCCTGGTCACCCGAATCGAGGTTTTCTATTTCCGATCTATTTCCCGCACTTTTGCTCAAAATGCAAAGTCAATCCTTACTGAAGCGTAATCTTTTTATTCTTCCTACGGGTCGATTTGTAAGAGGGGAGAAGAGAAGAGCTTTAACGACTTATATCTATGTATAGATGCAGAATTTATATATGTATATATAAAATAAAAGAAACAGGATATATATATATATATATATATATGTATATGGATATGTACGTAGGTGTACGCGATGCGTGTTGATATATACTTTACGTAAGAGCGTTTCCGATAAGGCTGTGACTTTGTAATGGATATGTGAGTGTCATGAATAAAATGGTTTTATTGACGATCCCCGACATATAGTGTTCCCGTGACCCCTGTCATCGCGGTTTCATTGATCGTGCAATGTGTACCGCATACATGTATGCACCGTATAGCATAATATGCAGTATAATATGTACCAGTGTCACACACTAAGCAACACCACACGTGGAACCTTCGTTTGAATTGGTAATAGCTATCGATCCGCGCGCGATTTTCTCGTTACGGCGTCTAACGATCATTCTGGAGATGTGTTATAAGGATTATAGTATTTCTTTTATGACAAGTGAAAACTATAGCCTTCTCTGTGATTTCGGGTCGTTTCTGGTAACATTTTAACCACTCGTTGTTCTATTTTCGCGAATATCTATAATAATGATTTACAGAGAGAGCAGAGAATTTATTATTTGATAGCGATGTCAAAAGGACCTTCAACTATCCTCTCTTGTTGCTTTACTTTTTAATATTCATTTATTTTTTACATTATTTTTTAATATCCATTTGTGATTAGAGTCTAATGTGCAATTGCAATTTGGAATTTGGAATTTGCATTTTTAACTTTTCTTCTATCTCGTAGACCCGTATTATTCGCGACTTCAGAATAAATTTCTAGTGTAAGGGGAATAATAGAAATTTTCTTTTTATTTATCATTATATATTAATCTTTTAGAAAGGATATAATCAAGTATTGATTCTTAAAACGGATCTATAACGTAAAATTTGATATCCTAAAAAAATTATTTAGGGTAAATAAGGGTAATACGAGCTTGTTTAATCGTCGTAATATATATATAATATATATAATTAAGGTTTTTCCTAAAATATTAATTTGTGTAGCCTTTTGACGATTAAACAAGCTCGTATTACTGTTTAACAGAGAAAAAGCTCTTCTACCGTTAATTTGACGAGAAGTGTCAAGTTTTGACAAGAGCTCGCGGTTGAACGCGTTACATGGACGCGTTTCGCAATTATGCGCGCGTGCGACCTATAGAAAAAATCGTGCGTAACGAGCACGCGCGAACAATAGGCCGCACGTGCCTACGCAATATCAGTAATTCCCGAAAATTAGGTTTTGTCGACGCTGCGCGGGAGCACAAATAGTCGCGACTAATCGTTGACCGCAGTTCATTAAAAAAAAAAGAAAAGGAAATAAGGAGTAAACGTGCGCGCGAACTGTGCTGCGAAACTAATGATTCGCAAAACTGGTTTACGGACATAACGCGAGCGGGAGGGTCGTAAGTCTCATTGTTCTTCGTAGTCGGGAATATTCCGCGTCTGCGAAGGGAATTTTGCATGAGAAAGGAAGAAAAACGATGCGCGTCCTCCTCCCCGAATGCTGTAAATTCTTTCGTCCGCAAATTTGCGTCGGTTCTCTCTTGAAAGCCTTCGGGTGCGTAAAATTTGCACAAAAGACGCAGTGTACAATGAGATGATTTGACTGTCAACGTTTCACTATCGACAAATATCTGCAACGTAGGATTATTTTCTGGTAGCTATTATAGCTGAAAAAAACTTTGAGCGAGAAAAAAGTTCTTTTTTTAAAATATAATTAGAAATAAAAATGATGAATTTCTCTTAAAGATTGTTAAATGTCTCGGAAGCACCCACAGAGAATACAATTTTTAACAAGAGTCTATTTAAATACCAAAAATCAATGCTCTACTAAACTTAAATTTCTTTCCAGAAGAATCCGTGTTTATTTTGTCGCATAATAAGCGACAGTGACCGATCTCATTGAAAAAAAAAGAGTATTTCCGACCGTAAATAGTTTCATAACAGGTACGTACAGTTGCGCGCCATAGGGTCGTGTAAACATTGATAATGTTTTGATATGTCAGGTATCTAAATTCGTAAATGATCGATCAGATTGTATTTACGAGTCTCGATTTATATTATATACGTTCCCAGGAACTACCTCAGTGTCAGTTATCCGACGAGAATGTAGGACATTCTTATCTGATCCGCTTCAGTTTCGCGTGAATGCCGATTAATGGCTGTATATCTCGAAAATGTAATATCGATTGGACTCTCTTGGGGGAAAGTACAAAGGAGAGGAATCACATGCGATGAGATTCTATTTGTATCTTCGAGTGTTATCGCTTTATTACAAAATCGTATTGCAAAAATACTTGGACCTCTCTCACACGTAAACATTAAAATGCGTAAATGGCACGTTCCGGCATGCGTATGACAACTGTTTCTCTCTCTCCCCTTCGCTTCTTTTTCTTTTTTTATTCACGCTGGACTTTACACGCTCACGCAATCGCTTATCACTCGAAAGCGTCAATGAAGCAAATATACTAAGTCGATACGCAAACCGGTAGTCGATTACGAGATAAAATTACGAATACGTCTTATTATTTACATTTAAGCGTATGTATGTACAATCTATATACAAATTTTTTCTATTAATAAATATCTTTTTAAGTTAGGTATTCACACATGACTATCATTGTCTCACTCATTGAAAATGCACTGATATACAGTTTTGGTCGTTGAACATTCCTGAGATATGTTAATAATAAAGTATTAAAATATTGTACAAAAAATATATAATACGTATATACACGAAATTTGCCCTTCACATTGATTTGTTTCGTAAAATATTTACGAAAATATTTGTAACATAAAATCCAGTTACGCACTTATGCATTATATCGTTCTTATACATCAAATTCTGCAAAGGGAAAGTGAATTCTACAATCTCGCATTAGAATGTTCTTGTTGTTGGCTCTTGCACCAAACGACCGCGACCATGGCCGTCGATTGCGCATCGGGGGTTCAAGGTCAGTATGCCAGTTCCGCGCCCCAGGGTCGATAGGGTTTCCCGTGCTGTTGCTGGGGATACTGACCCGGGTATTGGCTCCAGCCGCCTAGAAGCGGCGGCATGGTCCCCGGACCGGGCGGCATCCCGGCGGAGACCGTGCTTGGCGGCTCGTAGCTGCTGGCAGTCGAGGTAGACGTCAACGTCGTAGACGCAGCGGGCACTGCCGAGGGCACGGCTGACGGCGGATGTTCCCGGTGGAAGCTCTGCAGATGCGACAGTAGCCGTAGCCGAAGCGGATCTCTCTCATCCAGACCCTCCATAGTCACCAGGTATCGGCCCACTTCGGCGGCACACTCTCCCCAGCCTACCGCGTGATAATCCATAGCTAGCTTCGTGCTGTCATAGCCCTCCGGTCCTGTAATTGCAATTTACATCGTGATTAATGATAAAAATATTCAAAAAATATATAATATCTTTATAGTTATTATAAAATATATAATATATAATAACTTAAGATTTAATGATATGTAATAACAAATCATATATACATATATATATAGATATCGTAGTCTTTAAAATTTGTTTAAGATAAAGAAAACTTTTATAGATAAAAAAATGGTACATAATTTTTTTGTATAATGTAATCGTTTAAGACGCGAGCTTCAACGAGAAAATTATTTTTCGACAAAGGTGTCGCGCTTCGAAAGAGAGCAGGTGTCGAAAAATGATATCGCCGTTTTTCCCGGAGTTTTTCCCGCGAATCGTCTCCGGACGATTCGCAGATTAAGAAATGCATCTGCGGACCGAGATCTTTTGTGCATTTTTGGTTTTCGCGGCGCAACAATGCCTCAGCATACGTGCACCGAGGCGAGATGGGCGCCTTGGCTTTAGTAGCAGGCGGTTCATTGTGTGCACGTGGAATGGGACAGGTAGCGTGGGAACCATTTAGACCCCCATAGACCGACCAGGCGTCTCGTACGCGAGATATGCACGCACCGAATAAACGAGTGGAGTGTCCCACGTTATTATGCAAGTTCTCAGACCCCCTATACAAACATCACTTATAAGAAAAGTCTATTGCGTATGTAGACTACTACGTACGTGTTAAAATCACGTGCGATCGATCATTGCTAAAGCCTTCGATAAGTGACTTCGAAACTTTGGGAAAAACTATAAAAAAGAAACTTATTCGGTGTGTACTGACGTTTAAAAACTAACATAAGCGTAAGATATAAAAAATGTCAAACCGAGCGTGTGAATATTTTCCTTTGCAAATTTATTAACAAAATAACAACGAAATATTATTCAATCGATATTGATCTTTGATTGACAAGCATCATTATCGAAACAACAAATGTCATTATAGAAATCTTAAGTATTAGAGTAAGTCTCTGGCCGGTCTTGAAATATCGCGATAGTTTGTTTAGCGATATTAAATTTAATATCTCTCGTTTTTAGAAGAAAGGGGAGGAGAGAAAGAGACACACAGAGCTCGTCGCGCCCTTCGACGTGTACGCATTTACAAATAGGGAGACCGCGCACACAATCGGACGTGTGTATTGGTGGTGCGTGTCCGTGCAAGCACATATATGAGCGGCTCTCTAGCTGGTTTCCCACAGGGTTCGACATCTGCCCCAGGCCGATCCGCCAAGCACCTCCCTCGCGAGGGGTGCGACACGCGGGACACCTCACCCCCGGGCCCGCCGCCACCAATCGTGGGAACACCACTTCCAGAGAGTCGTTGACTTCCTCTGTGCTTCCCACAGGATCTCCGCGCCCGGTCCAGCACCTGCTCGCGTGTGTGGATCCCGTTTGTATGGCGGCCTTCACGGGAAACCATATGCCACACCTTGTCTCGTGATTTTCTCTACGATGCCTCTTTCTCGAAAATATTTCTTGTGGACCGTTCTTAATAATATCAATATTGTGTTGAAAGAATTGCATCTGAAATTTGTTTAATATCTTTCCGAGAGAATTCCGTCAATTAATATTTGCGAATTGATCAATTTAACTGATTTTTCGCGTTATTTTTATAACGAAAATAATTAATAACAAAGTGACATATTCATCATTTGTAAAAAAAAAATTAAAATTATGAGAGAATGATAATTTTTAAGATTAAAGAGATATATATCTGCGCGCATTTAAGATATTATTATACTGATACAAAGATCTCGTTTACAAATCTATGTTAATCTATCTCGGATCTACGTAATAAGGAAACGCAGAGACGACAGATGGGCATTCGGTTACACAGTTACAGTTAGTGTTCTCTCTGTTCACCCTTACGGTCAACAGGTGTCTTCCGGTAGGAAAAAAGGGCCGGCTAACCGAGAGACATAATAATGGCGTAAGAATCAAATTAGTAACCGTTGAGAGATTATTAATGTCAGGCCCGAGAAATCTCGAGTTAGAAAGAAAGGGTGGTCTCATTGATCTTGGAGAATCGTCTTCGAATTCCGCTACGCATTCACAACAGGAAAAGGCGTTTCTTCCGGATTCGGAGATCTTATTACTCGACACCGTTACATCTTTCGATCTGCACTTCCGTTATGTCACTTCCGTTCTCGCGTGCGAAGTGGTAAATACCGAATAGTTTTCGTTCAATCGTTTTATATAATAGCGTTAATCTAAAACACATACACTAGTTAATTAAAACAAGTTTTTTTTTCACAGTTAAAAATTTTTATATAATAAAATACATAGGAGCATAGAAAATCGCCGTATTTAGAGAACGATTTAATTTAAAGAAATAACTCAAGCGAAGGGACGAGGATTAAAAAGGATAGAGGAGAAGACTCTCACCCTTATTGCGAAGCGTGCGCAAATGCTCGACAGTGAGCTGCAGGATCTCCGCTTTCTCCAGCTTTCCGCTGTGAGGATCCCTGGCGGCTGCCGGTACCAATCTCCTCAGCTCGCCGAGGGACGCGTTGATCCTGTCGCGACGCTTTTTCTCGATCATCCCCCTCCTGCGTTTCCGCGACGCGTGCTGACAGGAGTCTCCTCCGGGCGAGTTGCATCTGCAACGGGAATTTCGAGCAAGGGTTGAGACATAAAAGCAACATGGGATTCAAGGGCGCGTTATAAGACACTTCGTGGTTTCTTTGTCCGGAATTTTACGGTACCGTTCTAATCGTAAACAGAAACGAGAGAGAATTATTTTAATTACATATTGTCAATTCGCCTTGTGGACCGCGCGACAACTCACTTAATTAATTTCGACCAGACTGAAACAATGCTGTTTTAATTACAATTTTAATTACGATTTTGTCGTCGAAACAAAGAGACATATGCCGCGTCGAGAAGACCGACCGACGAAATTTTTAGAGAACAAAAGATTATTTCAATAAAAACTTTTACGCTCACTGCTTCATCTTAAAGAAAATTAATCTTAATTATTTCATTTTTTTTTTATTTTTATAGAACGATCAAAAATTCTTGTTTGATATTCTGTAGATTAAGAATTTTTTTTTTAAGAAACTAAACTTTTGCGAATTATAAGACGATTTGAAATTATTCCATTGGGGGGGCTCTAATTTTAATACAACGATCGCATGGATTTTTTTTTGTATTAGATAACGCGAGATTGTATAAAAAAATAAATACGTACGGTTCCTTGCCGCTCTCCTCCGAAAACACGTCGTCGCAATCGGAATCGCTCATGGTCCTCTTCAGATTTCTTTGTTGATGTCCTTGATTTTGTTGCGGTTGCTGTTGTTGCTGCTGCTGCTGTTGCTGTTGACTAGTGTCTTGACTTCTTAACTCCGTATCAATTTTTAATTCCAAAAACTCGTGATTAGATCGCATCTCCGTCATATCCGATCGCATGCTTGACATATCCTGATGTCGGACGTCCTGATGCCTGACAATGTCGTGTCTGGATAATTCCTGATGCCTCTGTATCTCCGGATGTCGAAGATCCGGCCGCTGCATCTCGTGCCGTAGCTCCTGGTTCCTCAGGTCGCCTGGTATCGTGGCAGCGTGTCGCAACTCGTGAGGCCCGGGCGGCCGCATATCATGATGATGACGCATATCCGGATGTTGCGGCGGCTGATAAGGTGGATGATGCGGCGGCGGCGGATAACCCCAATGATGACCCGACGGCGGCGCCGGTAGCGTTGACAGGTGACCGGGCGCGACTGCGCCGGAAGTAATCTCGGAGGACAACAGGGTGCTGTTGTCGTCGGAACGCGCGACCACCACTCGCCACATGTTACGCTGTCAGAGGAGAACGGAGGAGGATCTATCGGACGGCGCAAACTTCTTGCGAATCGAAGAAATATTCAAATCGATCGCGCTACCGCCGGATGCTGCGAGATACCGATTCCACAACGATATGAGATGCCATAGCGATTGACGAGAATGATTTATACACAGTCACTGTTTATATATGAATAAATCTGCAGTATTAATCGAGATAAAATGTCAAACACAATAAAAGATCACATAGCTTTCAACGTCTATGTTTGAAAGATGAATTCGAATATTTGCAGAATCTCTTCCGGAAAATCTGAAGAAGATCGAAGGGCCTTTGCTGCTGATGAGATAATTTCTTTAAGGATCTAATTTCCACTAAACTTGCGAATCCTGGAGAAGATTGCCGTATTGTTGTCGCCGAATTCTCAAGATAATTTCTTCGTGAATTTCGAAAATTGTTGCAACGTTTCTACGTTGAGTGTCGACGAACGTTTCGCGAGATCTTGAGGAAGGTCAGGGCTGGAACGGTGACCGCGAAAGGAGCAATCGGTCCTGGCACTTGTCTCGCGACGACGGTGGAGTTTATCAGCGCTCACGTGCTGCGGCTACCCGCGACGTCGCTCGCGGTCGCGTGCGTACGTGCATGCGTGGAAGAAGAAGTCGCGCGCTGGACGCACTCTCGGCTGCTGCAGTTGCTGCAGGATGTGCGTGTGCACTGGTCGCGTGGCGGCGGACGTATGTCGTGTGCGGGAGGACGCAGGGACGACACACGACCGCGTGGTGTATCCCGCGATCCTGGTGGGGATGATCGGAGGTGTGCGCCCTCGGGATGAGAGTGGGGCACCGGAGGGGCCCCGTGCGGCTCGTCGAGGTAAAGAGCAAAACCCCGGCGCATGGGAGGGAGCGAGAGTACGCACATCATCGTCGAAGGGGGAACGAAAATCGGGAGGGGCGACTTTCGTGGGAACGTTCGCGGCGACTCGTGTGCGAGAGCGTGCGTGCGTGCGTGCGAGCGTGGGTCCTTGATTGTGCGACCGCCGGCCGGATTCTGCGTTGCACTTGGTCAAGGAGACTGAGAGGTGGAGGAAGCGATCTTCTCGTCGTTCAGGCCAAGCGGATATGCGAGAAGAAAGGAGCCGGAAACTGCTCTTTTCCAGTCCCGTGTGAATCCTTGCTGTTCATTCTTGATGTATCGATTATATCTATTATAATAAAATAAATATGTATGATTTTTAGATACGTTTTCTTATAAATTTATATTTACTACAATTTCTCTGTAATTAGTATTTATATTCATGCAATTTTATAAAATCACAGATTTCAAAATTTATAAAATTTCAAGTTTATCAAATTAAGATTTGATCTTTTAACATCAAGATATTTCATTATTTATGAATTCTACAATGTCTGCGAAAATAAAGAAAGGGAGGATTTGTCTTTATTCGTTTACTCGAGAATGAGTAATGAAATTGAGAGAACCGGTAAGACAATCAGTTTCTCCCTTTTCCCCCAATCCCTCAAAGTGATACGCGCGCCACCATGAAATCACTCTAGTGCCACCCTCGTGAGAGCCACCCCCCTCTGCCTTATTCGCACGCTCGTGCGGACGTCGCGGAGACGTTCACGCGTGTCGGGAAGGGCCGTTTGGGGGACGTTCGTAGGAAGAGGGGGTGCGATCACGATAAAGTTCACACAGGAATCGTACGCGGCACGCGCTCACATGATTATCGGCGCCTGGGAACGAAGCTGACTAATCGTATCGTTAACTTTTCAGCGGAGATAGACCAGGAGCGATTACGCGACATAAAATCGGCGGCAAGTAAATTGAAAAAGCTACTCTGTGAAAATCAAATTGTCTAAAGTGCGTATAATACACCATAAAAAATTCTCATTTTCGTAACACATCTGATACAATATAAATTTTGAAAAATTTCGAGGATCTTGCGAAGCGATCTCTCATTGAATCATACACGCGAGCCAATATTACCTAAGAGAAACTTGGATGTCGTGAATAGAAATGAATGTAGATGAATAGAGATATGTTTTGCACGAGGCTCGATGAAGAGATTGGCTTATTTTCCTGACATATTAAGGAGCGATTGCATGCGCGGCAGGCGATGAAAACGGTACGACGACGATCGCAGCGGGTATCGCGAAACGTGTACCGCGTCGCGTGCACACACGTCCAGCACACGTCATCACGCGATCAAGGGCGCGAAACAGAAAGAGAGAAAGGGAAAGGCATAGGGTGGATCGCGTGCCCGTATTTTTTGCACCTCGCGCCGCCGATCGACTATTCTTCGTCTCTCCGAATTCACGAGAGCCCACCCCACGGATAGTCCTTATTCCGCATTATATAATATCTTCCCGCGGACCTTGCGTGCCTTTTGATGCCTCCCGGATCGCAAGCGGAGAAGCACAGGAGGGTGCCCAGTTCCCATAGGTATATCGCGTGAATGTGCGCTCTTCGGGCCGGAATTCTATATAAAGGGATGATGCAAATCCAAACAATCGGGGATTCTGACTGAGAGAAAGCCTGCGAGAAATCATGCTCTCTCGAATCATTCTTTATAAATTAATATATCTTGAAATATCTTTCGATTAGAACACTCTTTTATATTTAATTAATTGATATAACTTGTATATACGTTTTTACATTTACAATTTGTATTTTATTATTTCGTTGTTTTATATAAATTATCCCGTTTTCTGCATTGCGGGTAAATCGATTGCGCTCAGTCAAATGCACAGTCAATCGATACGCCAAGCACTACAATATTCGTCAGTATTTTTAAAAAAGATTCGAAAAGAAGGGACGATGTCTGAGTCACCAGGCCATTAAGCATTGTGCAGGTTACGATATCAATGACTTACATCGTTCTGTATTACGAACCGTGAGTAGGGCCAAAGTATCCGGCTTCCGGTCCGCACGCGACTTCTGCACGTGGACACGTGGCGCAAATCGAGGCGTTTGCATATACGTATATACACACATGTGCCACGAAGTGCATATCTGCGTTACTTCGAGGAAACAGACGACACGGTGTTCCAATATCGATGTTCGTCAATATCCGCGCGTGCGTTTTCTTCTATCGTCTAAATCTATTATTTGCATTCTGTAAACAAAATATAAAGCTATATATATCTGACATTATCGCAAATTTAAAATTTTGATAAAATATAAGCTTTTTTTGGTTTAAATCTTTTTGCAGAAGAATGTGCTATTCGTTATGTTAAATAAATTCAGAAATGCTATGTGCATTTTTATATATTAAGTAAATAAAAAAATATAATAAAACTCTCTCTTTTCTTCTCTTTTTAATTTTTGCATTTCGCAATTCCGGGGAATCGCCCATATCTGTCGTTTCCGACGCGGAAAGCCCGGTACCTTCTATCGGCAAATATTTATTCATAATTTCGTTTCAATCATGCATATATATATGCGCTGATGTCGAGTGGATTTAGCCGCTGGTCAGTCCATCTTCTGGACAAACAACGCGAACGGGAGGGATAAGAATACCGACGTCATATAGGCACACACGAGCGTATCCCCATGCGTAAAGCAAACACGCATAAAATTACGTATTCGTGGTTCGCGTATCAGTCCGCGACCGAATGTATTCTTAGAAAAACACGAAACACGATTGATAGGGCGAGGGAGGGGGATGGTCTGTCGCGATACATTTGCCGGACCGTGGTCGATCATGATTGCAACAATATCAGAGTCCTCGTAGCATCGCCCGAAGTCTTTTTTCCTCTCCGTTCTTTCTTTCGTTATCTAAAATAATAGAAAAAAAAATTAGATATCGCCTTTATTTTTTACTCTACTAATTTTTTCTCTAAATTTTTGTTTGTAATCAAACTATATATTATTTTTTCTCTCGAAATAAGGAATACATATCGCAAATGATTAAATAGACAAACGTTCTTCCTTGTTAAGCATCGATATGATATCCGCTTTAATCGTATCGTATCGCAACTTGCATTTCGCGTAAACGAAGCATGGATGGACGACCGTTTTCCTGGCCGACAAAAGTTAACGACCAAGGCAGTGGTCACTCACTCCCCCCGATCAACCGGCAACTTGACCAGCACCATCGACAGTTGGCGGCGACAATCGTCCGATAATTGGCAGACATTGTTGAACGCGTTTGGCACGCACACACACCCGACCCGAGTGGACCGGCCTTTCGCTTTACGATTTGTTGACCACCGTCGCGATCGTGACACGGCCGATCGGAAATATGAATTTATCGCCGATCATGTTACGACGATGACGGTCCGAATAATGTATCGATTATGACGTGTTGTGCATTAACCGCGCTGTCCTCCAGCTCCCGTGTTTGCCCTCGTAAATCTGCCGCGATGACTAGATGGATGCTGCATGTGCGTGATATCATCGTAAAGTCGGTAGAATCTAAATCCATAGAAAATATTTCTTATGTATTCGTTTATATTGTTTCACGAATTTTATATATCATTATTTACACAATTTTCGAAACGTAGACACCTTTTTTCTCGCTTGTTTTATCTAATAATTATATGTATATCTTTTTATTATTATTAAAATTTGCACAGATATTTCTCGTGATTGTAACAATCAGTTTCTTTAAATCGTTAAAGTCTTTACCTTGATTAATTTCATTCTGTTAAATCGGCACGTGTATAAAATAAGATTGTACAATATGAGTGAAAGACATCTTTGTTTCTCAATTAAGGCTACACAGGGTGGCGGGATTTTCCTCATTTCACCGAATCATGCTTTCTAGCACCATCTGTGTCCCTTGCGTCCTTTGAAAGATTGATCCGCCACCAGTGTAAGTCACATCCGCACTTAACAACATTACATTGAATTAATTGGATTCAATTACCACACTTGATTCTGCGAGAAAATTTCTCAATCAAGATATTTCCTTTAAACGTTCGTGTGTATTTAATGTTCTAGAATAATTAAAGTAAAAAATATAAATTAAAAAACTTAGCAAATTTTATATTTTATAGATTGCATATTTATTGCTGCTACTCAGTAATGCTTATCGCGTGTCGTAGTGTTACGAATTTTTGTTTTAAAGCGAGGCAGCAAAGTGTATCGAGCGATTCACGGCCCATTTGCTACACTTTTCAAGTTCCCATCGTAATAAGAAAAACGCACGCGATTTTCATCGAAAAAAAGAGAAAAAAAGTAGCGCGTTTGGGGAAAATAACACGACTCTCTCTCGAGCGATGCGGATTGAATTTAAATACGCGCGTCGGGAATTCGCGCACCCTAAAATTACATCCCCATTTAAAAGTCGCCCCCAATCGTCATGGCGATTCGCCGCGCTCCAGGGCAGTTCAATTGCGGACAAGTGTGTCGTGCGATGTGTACGCTCGTATATTAAACAATTTTTTTGGCCACGATTTTAAAAGATGACAGCTGTCAGACTTGACAGCTTAAAAAACTTGACAGACCGAAACCGCAACGCGCAAACCGGACACGAGCTCCCCGAATATTTTTTTTCAGCGCATTACATACAATAAGACCTCGGCAATCGGGCATGTATAACATATGAAAGATTCACAAGAGTATTCTAATTCCCTGGTTCAAGTTCAAATAAATATAAATAAGCATAAAAGAAGATTTGTCTCTTTCTCTCTGTTATTCGATATCTGTTTTATTATTTATTACTATTATATATTATATTTTTTATTCTAAAGATGATAAAGTGATAAAATGTGATAAAAAATAAACAAAATACTTAGTAAAAAATAGGTTCCCTCCGCCCAAAACTCACAAATATTTCTTCAACGACAAGCGAAATGTAAGACGAAGGGGACACCATCGCTGCTGATGATCGACCGGCGATCGTGTCATCTCCCGGGAGTTCGAAAGAACGATCGATCACCGTCTCAAATTTTACAATATCACGCCGCAACGCGCGAATTAAGATATATGATCGATGACTTTCCAATCGCAGCGCCGTATTGTTCGGCTCTAAAGGGTCTACGCGGGCTCGTTACATTCGTCGGTGCAATTTCCTGACCGATTAAAATGACACACATGCTGCGCCCGCATTACATTATGTGTAGAAGTCTGCGGTTACGGTTTTATGTGGAAGTTTAAGTACGCAAAGCGTGTTATTGCGTAGGTCGAACAACAAATAACAACAATAGATTTTTAAACATGTGTACGTGCAGACTGCTAGACTGAGGAGAGAGAGAAAAGAAAAGAGATATTCTTTTCTTAACAAATTCTTGATATATTGATTAAGAAAAATCGACAATTAGTAAAAAATCAGTAAAATCGCTATGCAAATATAAATATTGATTTTTCTCTCATTAATACAATATAATTAGCACAAAAAGCACAATTTGTAACTAAAATTATGTTTTCAAAAAAAATATATATAAATAAAAATCAATATTTATTTACGTTAATTTTGTATGAAAAATATTCATTATATATTTCCCGAAAATAATAGATGCATGATAGAAGATTGTAATTACTCACTGCAACAAGGACTCCATGTGTACGGCGATTAAATGAATCAAGTGTTTAAATCGCGTAAATTGTAGAAGGATCTTCAAATTTAAGCAGGGCTGAATCACTGTGGTATTCGACGAAAAAAACGTTGCGCGTTTGATGAAGATGGTCAGAATGAATTACGCGCAAAGGTAGAATGAAGCGGAGGCCATGACAAACAGGATAACGGCGTACCAGGCATGGATCGAGGAGGGAGAAGCAAAAGCAGATGTCAAGGAGATATTCAGGGTTCTCGGTAAACTAGAAAAGAAAAAGAATCGGTGAGATTTGTGAGGAAAAATATGAATAGATAAATATTTTAAAAAGATATTTCCAAATAAATGTACATAATTTTTTATATAGAAATGTAACAGCTCGATGTAGAGAGTGTAGCTGAAAAGAATAAATGTGAATGTTTAAATGGAATGTTGAAAGTTTATTGCAAACGTTTGCATAAGTTACAATAATTACCACATATATTATCAAATATATATTAGTTCATACAAAATAATAACAATGTTTGTTAGCCGCGGCATTTCTACAATATAGCTTGCGATCCACGCCACGATGTGATAGTATGATGGCCCGTCGAATAATTATCTCCGCCCTGAAATGTATGAATCGATAGCATCTATTTTAACGCGCTATTTGTTGTATGTGATATCTAACAAATATCATTATTTCAGTGATACATCATTCTATTATCGTACAATGTATATAAAAATTTTTAATTACGTTTGAACGTATACTTCTTTTTTACATTAAATGGTGAGACAATTGCAATATTTTATCATTATTTTTTCTATATAAAAATTTAAAAAGATAATCGTGTGTGTATATAACATATATTCTTACCTGAGTAAGCATTAGCAATTCGTCCTGTGTGTCGACAATTTTAACGGGGAACGGAGAGCCTGGCACCAAGACACCAGCCCAACGAACTTCCACTCTGTAGTCCCCGGGTTCCGTCGGATCATATCGACAGAGAATGATCCGGTCTTTTTGAGTCTCCCGTTGCATCTCCACCCTGAACGCTCCCTTAGGTCCTCGTACTCTCACCGTGAGCTGACCAGCGCCGGCGCCACGCGTGTCGCAAATAAATCGCGACTGGAACGTCGCCAGCACACCGTGTTCGATTCCCGGTCCATAAACGCGAACCTGATATTTCATTAAATTATTTCAATTATAAAATTTATTTTATAAAACGAAAAAAAATCAACATTCACATTTTTATTAATTGAAAAAGATTATTCTGATTTCAATTCAGAATTTATATATCACGTTTAATTGATGGGATATTTCTTTTTAGAAAAATTTTTACGTTTAAATGTTAGAAGTACCTTTGAAGCATCCGGAGCTCCAGAGACGCGCAACGTAAACGGAGAACCGGGAACGTGTTCTCCAGCGTATTTAATCGTTAGTGCGTGTCGACCCGCTTCTTGTGGTTTCACGTTCAACGTGAAAGTGGCATCGCCGTGATCGTACAGCTCGCAGTATGCTACTTTATGTGGCCCGACGCAATGCGCCGTTAACTCACCTGCGAAACAAGTCTCCGATAAAAATTAACCGGAAGCAATAGATATACTTATCCGAGCATGAAATAAAATTCTACCTGGTCCAGCTCTTCTAGTATCGATGAAACTTCGTATCTCTTGCCCGACGATCCCGTGCTTCAATCCATCTCCGGAACAGATAACCCTAGACGCGTCGGCCGCGCTCGTAACGTTAATTTGCAATGGACAGCCCTTTAGTTGCCTTCCGTTCCACGATACCGTCATCAAGAGCGGATCCGGCGTTAATGGTATATAACTTGCGCGATAAACGCTGTCACCTGTGTGCGTGTTATACGAAAAGTATTTAGAATCGCGTTTTCTAATCCGCATTTTCAGGTTTACTATGCTTTTTTTTTATTTACCTAGATGTTGCAACATAACGTTAAGTTCGTTGGTAGGCGAAAACAGTTGTACTTTCGGAGTCCCGTTACCGGCTTGAGAACCATCTATGGTGAAACTGACTTCTTCGCCGCATTTGGCCGATGTCAATCCTCGTCCTTTGAGCAACACTCGACTTGAATCCTGTACTGGTGGCTAGACAGAATGGACAGGGAATAATTATATGACGATACAGTTGTCAAATGCGTGATTTTAGAATTTAATCTGTGATTAATGAAAAACCTCCAAGTCCTGCACGACCGCGAGTTTTGGTGCACCGGGAAACGGTGTACCGTTGAACAATATCTCCAGGCGGTGTTCGCCGCCGCTTATCTGCGGCGGAACGAGTTTTAGTCTGTTGCTAGATGTCATTTCGAAAGTGAGAGGATGATCGCCGATAGTTCCGTTGATCTCACCGGGTCCAGCCTCCGCGGTGTCGAAGCTGATTTTATTCGAGGGATGCAGTTTCAATCGTCCGATGTCGTCGCATACAGCGGACCAGCCACCTGCACGCAAGATCATCGTATACACATATTGTAAAATCGATAGAAAAACCACTGTATCACTATATCAAATCACTTTAATTATTCACCGATAACACGAAGATTCCGTGTGTCTATGATCTTCGGATGCCACGGGGATCCCGGCAGTTGCTGTCCGGCGCAGACGACTCTCACGTCAAACATTCCGATCTCAGATGGTACATAAGACACATTCCACGTACCCGGATTAGCGCCCGCTTCAATGGTAGCTTTAGAAACACTGTCCGGTCCATCCACCTGCGACGCATACGAAGCTATATTAAGTAAAAAAAAATCTACATACGTGTCAATGAAGCATTGATAAAGCAACTTCCTTATTACGTCGTATGTAAATACCTAAACCGCTGGAGGACTTCTCGTGCCGGTGATGATAAAATGCGCCGGTTTACCCACGTGACCGCTCAGCAATCCTTCACCTTTTGCGCGAGCTTGCCCGGCCGCATCGACGGTGCATATCACTGGACTTCCAGGTACGGAGCATCCGCCTATTACCATAATCGTAATAAAATTAAAAATATAAAAGATATGAGATTCTTTTCCGATATAAAGAATAAAATTTGTATGCCTAAAGATCGTTACCGTAAATGACGTTGATCATATAGGTGCCGGGCACACTGGGCGAGAACTCGATCATCTCGGCGCCGTCGTTGAGCGGAGTGACTTGCAGCGGGATCTCCTGGCCTGACGGACTCGTCGCCGTCACGTCCAAATCAGCCATGCCGGCGTCGACTTTCATCACTGTAATAACAGTACACTCCGAATTGCATAGGCATAGGCAATAATCACCGCGACTTTTCTTCTTCGACAACGCAATCCTCAAAGGTGTATCGCGACTATTCGATCGAACGACGCGTGAAGCGAGACTATTTGAAAGTAGTCTAAGTTTATTTGAGCTGCAATTACATTCTAAGCGCGGCCTTGAAGCACGTCGCACAGTTATGGTGCACTAGAAAAGGCTCGTTACTTTCTCCCGCCTATGCAAGTATGTCGACATATTTACATAAATACAGGATACATCTACGCTTACTCGAGTAAACGCGGCATTACACGCGCCGATACGTTTCGCCAAACGATTACTTAGCAATTAACACAGTTCTTTGGTCAACTCGGATAACTTCATTTCGATCATATCGCTTTTATCTAGGTTAGGCTTCGTCCATACTTTCTCCTCGTGTGAAAACGATCTCGTTCGCACATGTTAACAAATAAGGAAAATTGTTACAAATAAAATGCGCACAGAATAATATTTATATAAAAAATATTTTTAACTCAGAAATATTCTTATAACTCCTTAAAATTTTTTTGATGTCAGATCTATATATATATTTAATATATTTTTCTTCAGCATTGTGTCTCGCTTGTCTCGCGCAAAAAAACGCACATGAAAAACTATTACTCACATTACATGCTATAATTATTATTTATACTTACATTTAAATGCAATGTGATCGTGAACTGAAATCGTCATGGGACCTAATTCTTGAAGTTTAACCTTGGCAGCGTCAAAAGCTTGGCAAAAGAATGGCGAACCCAACACTGGTTTTGCACCGTGAAGCACATCGATTTTGTATGTGCCTGGGTGAAGAGAACATGCAATAGTAATTGTATTTCGCAAAGTATTTTATCGCGTAACAACAAAGTCTTTTTTAATCTTACCGACGCTATTCGTTGTAAATTCGGCGAGTAGATTGCCGTCGCGATGCTGATAACAACGTACGGGTACGGCGTTACCCTGCGGACCGCTGATAACGACGTCGAACTCCTTGCCAGGACGTCCCAGAGTTTCGATAGTGAAAGATGTTACTTTCCCGACACATGACTGATACAGACCCAAACCTGTCGCCGTCACTTCCCGTCCTCCAGTAGGACCACGTACCGTCACATCCAATGGACTACCTGTGAATATTATAAAAATAAAAATTCAGAATTTTCGTAATGTTAATGACAGTTTAATACAATGTAATGTAAAGTACCGTACCAGGAATATGGACCTCGTTGTATTTTATGTGAACTTTGTGAGGCGCGGCGCGTGTCGGATGGAATATGATCTCGTAAACACCGTTCTCCCCTTCTCTCACCAAACTATCGACATCCGCACCGCCCGCACGTACGTTGACCGATAATTTTCCGGGACCAGCCTCCTTCGACGCAATAACTATACAAGAAAGAAACAAAATACGTTAAACATATTTATATATTTGCTACTTTTTATCTTTTGCACAAATCAATATATTTAATACACTAAGTTATATATATATATAATTGAAACTTATATATATCCGAATAATTACCTAAAATAGTTCCAGGTCGATGACAAACCGCGTCTGCTATTTCTTTGATGACAACTTTGCCGGGATCGAAAGCTTGAAGCGTTTGCGAACTGACCATTTTGTGCCCGTCATTGAATATTATACTGTATGTTCCCACCTGTCGAGTTCGAACTTCCACGCGATATAAACTGGATGATAACTTTGTTAACGTGGAAGGAATAATTATTCCGTCCGGACCTGGATCGAAAGAATAAAAGAGCAATAGAAAAACAAATTGTATCTGATAACCTTATAAATATTTAGATAAATAATTTACCAGTAACTTCCGCTGATATAGGACCATTCAAGTCAGACATATCCAGATCTATGTAAGCTGTATTACCGATTCGGATCATCGATGGACCATGTAACATGCTGCTAACCACGGGACATTTAAATGGACTCCCTAATATAAACACATCGGTATTGTTAATATCTATTATTTTTCAAATCGGCTTTCGAAAATCGATCGATGAAATTGTTCGTGTACAAACCTGGCACGTTGTCGTCATTGAAACTGATATTAACGTAGTGCGCACTTGTTGTCTGTGGCACGAATGTAACGTCATACAATCCACGTGCGCAGGCCACCACCTCGGCTTTAACGGTGTTGTTCTCTGTACTCACGACCAGTTCTAGCGTTCCCTCGCCGGCTTCCGCGGCGTCGACGGTAAATGTGGTTGCCTGACCCAGTAATGCTTCCGTGAGACCGGACACGTGCACCTGTAAGCATTATGGTATCCAATGTTACATTAAACATTAGGAGCATCTAAGTTTTAATTTCACGTATTTGACAGCTTACCTTAGTCACATCGTAAATATTGCAAGCGAACGGAGAGCCTTTAATCGATTCGCCGTCTATCAGGACGCTGATGTTGTGCCTGCCGACTTCGGTGGGCACGAAGCTCACATTGTACTTGCCGTCGATGGGCTCGATAGTGATAGGCAGAGCGATGCCCGACGGTGGGGTTGCGATAACGTCGCAATTCGTGGACGGAGTCTGCGGATCTACAGTGAAAGACATCAGTCGTTTCACTGCACCCATCTTCAGATTGTGACCAGAAATTATTGCTTGACCGGCACCTACTACTTTACAGCTGAACGGCGAACCTAAGAATTTCGAAATATTAATATAAAGAACTAAAGATAAAATCATACGATTAGACGCGTACGGACTTTTTTCATACCTGGAACTGGCTCTCCATTGAAACGGACACTGAGACTATGCACAGCGGCTTCTTGTGGCTTAAAATTGACCCTAAACTTTGCATTACCCTCGCTTTGCACGTAATTCGGAACATTCTTGCCGTTTACTGCCACTATAATTTCTAAATTTCCAGCTCCAGCTTGACTGGCGTTGACTAGAACAGCAAATAGAAAATATACATTTTGCACAGCAATAATTCGTCGCACATTACTGTGAAAAATATGATCTTACTGCTAAAGAACACTGGTTTGCCAACGACCCCACTATTTATATCCGTCACTTTGACTTTATCAGCATTGTAAGCCTTGACAAGAAACGGACTGCCTTCCACATGCGATCCACTGAGCTTCACTTCGACGCTGTGATCACCTGTAACACGGACATCATTTAAAACAATAATGATTTTATAATTATATTTAAATTAAATATACACACCAACATCCTTTGGAGTAAATCCGGCGGTATAGACGTGACTGTTCTGCTTGATATGTACAGGTAAACTCTCTCTAGTAGGTGAGAGCACTTCGACGACTGGCGTACCGAGAGACGCATCGGCTTCTATTGTAAAGGTCGCGACGCGATTCACAGATACTTTCTCAAGTCCCTCGGTTATTAACACTTTTGCCGTATCGCTGACCTAAATAGTTTCAATAAAACGTTTTTACCTGCATTTTGTCTTGCGTTATATAACGCGTAATAGTAAGTTACTAAAATATTTTTAATTTTAAATAACATAACTTTTATATGTTTAGATTATCACGCGAATTCGTACAATCCAAAAAATAAGATATAAGATACCTGACAAGTAAACGGGCTACCAGGCACATCCTCCCCGTTAAATCGCAAGTCCACCGTGTGCACGATCGGTTCTCGAGGTGTGAATGAGATCGCGTACGTGTGAGGACCCTGCGCCTGAGCCGACGTCGGTACTCGTCCGCCGTTGACAGTGACTTCTAGATTACCCGGTCCCGCCTGACTGGTCTCGACTGTGGGTGAGGAAACGAGATTTATCTCAAGTATAAAACCATATTTTAAAAGGCGTAATATAAAAAAAAAACGTACCCAAGAAAGTTACCGGCAATCCGATGACACCGCGCTTGGCATCCTTCACTTTAATCGCAGCGACATCGTATACTTTACAGCTGAATGGACTGCCGGCCACCGGGATATTCCGGTAGTTCACCGATATTCGGTGCTCGCCGACGACTCTTGGTGTAAACGCCACGCTGCACGTCGTGTCTTTGTTGTCGGTGACCTGAGCAGGTACGGCCTGTCCATTGGGCCCTATCAAGTCCGGCGGGTTAGTCGTTTAATATCATTTAGAGTTAGCCATTTACTTGGGGTGGACACCGGAACTGCCAGCTTGCGAAGAGGTTCGCGTATACGTCCAATCGGCATTGTTATAAACTCGTATTAAGCAACGTTAAAGAAAGCAGACTGCGCGTTAGGGATTTATAGCTGCGATAAATAATTGTTAACTGCGACTAATGGGAGAAAGCCGTATATCTCGTACATTATTTCTAATTTGCTTCAGCTTGAATGCACGCAGAAGATTATTTTCTAATTCGTTTATAGCATGCTTGGCTGAGCAAAGCAACCGACAGAGCGAAGATATATTAAAAAATAATTATCATAGTAATTTATACTCAATATTATCAGGTAGAAACAAACAAATTTATAGCAGCTTCCTTCGTTTGTCATATAAAACGTTATAATATAAATGTATATACTAGAGTTAAAATATATTGGCACACTTATTAAAAGGCACTGTGCATTTAAAAATCTCAGTTTAGAGATACATATATCATTACATTGAAAAATTTAACAATTATACACAACTTAAAATAAACATATAGCACCATAAAATGGCTTTATGTAAGTCAAATATATTTCGCGAGCACATAAAATAATGTGATTACGAAATATTAGATGACTTCCATAGTTTTCCCACTATTGAAACCCACAAATTAAGCATTGTAATACTTTCAAGTGGTAACAACAGATATAAGACAAATTATGCAAGTGGAGGAGAGAGATAATTAGACTACCCTTATACAAGACTTTCAAAAGATTGAGTTAGGAACCCACCACCATGTGTGTGTTTCACGTTATAGTCCATAAATTACAATAAGAGCGAGATTAGTTTTTAAGAAGTCTAGTAATGTCGTAGTCTGAAAGCTGGCCGACCTGCAACAGAGAGAGAGAAAATTGCTCTCAAGCTAATAGATTAATGAGACATAGATGAACACAATCCTGTACAATTACGTCGACATTCCCGTGACGTTAAGAACAAAACGAAAGATCCCTCCGTATTAAAGACATGGTAAATCAACACATGGATGCTTCTGTGCATTTTTGTCGCAAAATACGTGCTAACAATTATATCACTTTACGAGCAATGAACTCGTGCGAATCGTGCACAGCGATATTTACCTTCAACATTAACTTCTAAGTCTTCCAAGCTACCGGCAACATTACTGACAGTTAGATAACTTTGCCGTCCTAATCCAGCGCTGCTCAGTGCCTGCCCACTTACGGTTACGTGGCTGTCGCCACCCACACGTGTCATTATAGGGCAACCAGGCACAGTTTTCTTATTGAAGGCTATATTGATAACGTGCTCAGACGCTTCAAACGGTACAAAACTAACGGAAAACCGCGCGTTTCCTTGCGGCGTTACTTGCGTCGGTATATTTTGGCCGCGAGCCGATATCGTAATCTCTAGATTTCCTTCACCAGCTTGACTCGCATCAACTGTCGACAAGATTATGCATTAGATTCTCACTATCAATATGCAACATGTGTTAAAAGGATACATTCTAATATTTATTTAACTGTTAGTTTAATACTATTATATACCAGTAAAGTGGGTTGGTTGACCAACACTGCCTCTAGCTACAGGTCCAATTAGCACATTATCCGCATTGAACGCCTTGGCTAGAAACGGCGTGCCATTCACGGGATAACCGTTATATTCTACACTAATTGAATGTACACCCACGTCCCTTGGTATAAATTCGGCGGTGAAACCGTTACTTATGTCACCAGTAACTTTAACTGGCAATTCGCTGTTTGGTCCTAAAAATATATATATATTTTTTTTTTAGATTCATGCATTCAGAAAATTATTGGACAATTATCTGAGATATATATGTCTTCATTATTATAAATTGATAGATATATGCCTCTTCATTTTTTCTATGAAACTTGAAATATATTACACATTTAAGAATTTATATATAAATTTCGGTTCCTATCAATTCGTAATAGTAAACGTTTAATGCATCACTAACCCCTTACGGAAACCGCTAGCTCTGCACTACCACTTCCATCAACTCCCATGTGGAAACTGGCAGAATGATTGACTGGAATTAGTTCTAAATGATTCATACTCAGTGTGACTCTGCTTGTGTCTGACACATTGCAAACAAAGGGACATCCACGTACTGCTTCTCCATTAAACTTTATATCGATATAGTGAGGCTTAGCAATTTCAGGGGTGAAAGATACGAGGCAACGGCCACCACCCACTACTTGAACATGATTAGGCACTTCTCCCTCATTTATAGAGATTTCTAGTTGGCCTTCTCCCGCAGCGCTGGCATCCACTGTAAAGATTACAGATTTAACATACATCATTCATGGACATACAAGATGTATAATATGATCAATGATCTACCTCTGAATTGACAGGCATGGCCAACTACGGCACTAGGTACATCAGTAACTTGAATCAGACTACTATTGTACACCTTGGCGACGAGCGGTCCTGCCGGTAGCTTTTGTCCCGCGATGCTCACTTCCACGAGATGGCTGCCTACTTCAGTTGGCGTAAACTCGACACGAAATTCGCCGGATCGTCCTGGCTCTTCATCAATTCTCGCGGAAATGTGTCTCTTCGAGGGTGCTGCAATTCATCGAATAAGTATATTGAGCATATTTGTAGATTGCCACAAAAATCAATTAACAAATTAACACTCACTTATAATCTTGACATCAATCTCGCTGCTGCTGAAGCCTAATGCAGACAGCTCAAAGATAGCGGGACTACCAGCAGGAACCAGCCTGATTGAATCACCTATCACTGACATCTTCGGTGCAGGCATAATACCAACTCGCCAAGGTGAACCTGATAATATATAATTAAAATAATAAATGTTCAACAGTCTGATGCAAAGAACATTTCACACACATAATTTACTATTTCAAAAGTAAAAACTGCTTATTATAATTTTGTTATAGATAACTAATTACACACACAGTGCTTTCATACACAAATTTTATTATTCCACTATTATATCATCCCACATTCATATATATCGCTAAATAATTGTTTTGAAATATAGAGACTTGTAATAATTTCACGCAGAGACAACGACTTGTCATTCGATTTGAAGAGCGAGACTTTATATAGGAGCGTTTTCGTGCTTCCCACACATATTTTCTTGCGTAAACAATGTCCTTTTGCCAACACCGTTATCCGGAATTCTCCGATTATAATAACACTACACTCTTGCAGAGCCGATATAAAATATAGGTCACTGTTTCGAATCGAATTCCAGATTCCCGGAAGTGCAACGTGACTCGTAACTCAACCTCTAACCTTCCTGCCACGCGCACCAAGTACGCGCTGTCAAACCAGCTCTCTTCTCCGAAAGTAACGTAGCATTTAATTGACCAATCGGGATAAAAGAAATAAAAATTTCTTTGCCCTGATTGGTCAATTAAATGCTACTCTGCTCCACGGATAAGATTTCCGAACGCATCCAAAAGGGGTAAAAAAAAAAAAATCCACTCGTACATATATCTACTAAACTTTGCTTCAGACTCCAGGGTAAAAATATTGTCGCGCGAAACAAAAGTTTGAAAGTGCATCGAAACTTGTACAGTCCCCGTAGAATTCGATCTTCGAAATTACGGGAAATTATGTCGCGGAGAAGAAAAAAAAAAACGAGCTTTACGTGACGATTCCACTGCACATGACATCACGGGAACAACGAACTTGTCGGAATGTTTGAATTCCGATAAGTCACAGTGAGAGAGAGATCTCATAGATGAGTCGTCAATTACCTTGACGAGTCGCGATGCGAGAGGAAACCTGGAAAGACGCTGGAAGAACCTAGATTATAAAGAAAGGGGGAGAGGAGAGAAAAGGGAAGAGTGCGGCTGGTGGATCCAGATTGATCTCGCGATCCAACGAAGACGCACGCGACACGAACAACAGATGCACTTCGATGACACGCATCGATCCTGCGTCGCCAGGATCTATCGCGAGGAGGGTGGCGAGGTGAGGGGACGTCCCACCTCACTCTCGAAACTGTACGAGATCGGCTCGCACGCTACGGACGACGATCGCGATGTCGCCAGCTTCCCGCAGCTGCATCACGCCGAAACAACGTGGAGAAAGGAAAATCCTCCACGGGAAAGAGCGGCCGAACGAACCCCGCTTGAAACGCACTCGAAAAACGCACAGTACCCGGAGAACCGAGCGGGAAAAGCGATCTCGACCCGCGACGAACGCTGGATCTCGCGCGATCCGCGACGCGACGCAACGCGGCGGACTCGACCGAGTTGAACGACGGACGGGACGACGAGCGTGTGTGCCCCAGCCCACCGCCGCTCGGGCCCAGAACCAGGGCCGTACGTCCTCGTGGCGCTCGCGAACCAGCTCGGCGGTCCCGTCACCGATACAAGCGGCGAGTCACCGATACAAGCGGCGAGTCTCCAATTACGCTTGACCTGTATTCCTAGCATACATTTAGCGGCGGAGGTATGTATATATGACGCAATATTATATCCATTTAATTTATTTTTGTCAAAAACATCTGGAGAAATTTCTACAAATTTCTGGAGAATTCAAGAATGAATCTAAGACCATTGTTTTTTTTATAATTTTAGGGATATGATTTTCAAACGATTTGCGCAATGGAAACGAGAAGAGAGATAGATTGCTCTGGATTTCTCCTAATTCGAGATATAGAGATCTTCCAAAATTTTATTCTTTTTGGCTGTATCCAGGATATGTTAACTACTTCCACGAACATATAATTTTGGAGATTAATATTCGCGAGTTCGTTGAAAGGTAACACAATGAAAACTTTTAAGTATATATACTGCAAATAAGTTCTATTTTATTTATCATTGGATACGACTATCTGATTCTACTCTCGTGTTGACATTGAACGAGATTACTAGACCAATTATATGCTCTAGATTTTCCTGCAAGGATCAATGATCGATCGATTTCGAATATCTTTACTTTCTCCACCTGCGATCCGATGTTCAATCACGTTTTTCCACATTATTAGCATACTTTTTATAAAACATGAAATCCCCATGTGCATTCGAAAGTTACGGACACGATCTTCATATTCATCATTACAGTCTATTTGCGATCGCAACGCGCGGATAAGGAGGGAGAGAAGATCTTAACCGCAGGGCTTCGGGAAGACAAGATACATCCGACTACTCCCATCCGTTTCTTACTCATCCGATCGGCTGCAGACCGCGCGATTTCTCGCGGGATACCCGATCCACGTATTTCGATATCTTGGGATCATAAATAGAAAATTGGGCATCTCTAACGCGCGGTTCTCACGAGTGAAAAGAGAATGAGCGTCTCCCGCTCTTTGCAAAGCATATCATTAATTTCTAATCCTCCGTGACAATCGGTCAATCAAATATACGGCAATATTTTCCATTTTCTATTTTTGATTAATGAATCGACCTTATCTATGCGCGATGGCTGTTTCGCAAAGAACCGGTGCGTAACGGCAAATAACGGCGGCTGATTTTATTTGCGCTACTTGTACAAGTACATCTGACACTAGCATAACACAATTTGCAGGAAGAGTCTAGGACATGCGTGACCCATTCGCGAGAGATGTGATTATATATATAAATCATTTGACGTCTGCGTGCTACCGCTCATACGCAGCTTTTACGTAACGCGACGTGTTAATAACATGCGGTCTGCGTGTTTATCATAAGGATAACAATTTGTGCTCCTTCGGAGCGTCATACAAATGCACTTCTACAAGTAACTGCCGGTGCTGTTCTTTCAGACGCAAACGCAGCTGACGATCATTAAAGACATTGCAATAATGGAGATCAGTTGATAATAAATTAGTCGTCGGTGGCTCTCGATTGATATAATAATTCATCCTAGTTTGTTGCACGAGAATCTTGTGAATGTTTCTGCCAGTTGCGGTTTCATTCACGGAGAGAACAGCTGGCGGTCACTAAGGACAATAGTTGCAACAATAATCTAGCGGTAGCATCTTATTAATAAACGTTTGCTAATCTTGTCGGAAAAAGTTTGTCGTGCTAATTTCATTTTGTCTTTTAATTCAAGGTGGCCTGTTTTTTCCGTCCAAAGCATAGTTTCAATCGAAATTTTGATTATGATATTGGAATATACTGATGAGACAGTATTTTTTTTTATGCTGAATCGCCGAGACGTACGCTACATTCTTGGCAACGGAGAAGTTACGTCGAAGCGACCGTGCACGGTGAATCGCTGCTGCATTCCCAGACATAACGGGTTGTCCGGCACGCAACCAGTAGATCCAAAATTGTCGAAAACTTCCCGGCCACACGTGTTATACCGAAAGTTCCAAGGTCACATAAGATACATAATCAAGGCTACTCGCGAATATTAATTAACTAATTCACTGTCTTGCCGAAACGAAGTCAGTTAACTGTAACCCGAGTGAACTAATTAAGGAAATACGGATTCGTTGATGAACAGTTCTTGAGATATCATCTCGAAATACGTGTTAATTGGGATAAGAATACGAGAGACGTTTACGAGGTAGTTTAATATGTTAATCACACGGGGAATGTCGAGGTATAATACTCTGAAAAGATTAAATTCTTCGCGTATGTGAACAAGTATCGTCGATATTCCTCGATTGCGTAGTCGAGTCACACGGACGACAGCTGTGATCTTCATTGATTCTAATCATATTACAGCTCCGTCTTTATATATCGATATACAGGGTGTCCAAACGAGCAATGCAAATTTAATTTCAAGAAAGTAGATCCATAACTTTAAGAATCTAAAAAATGTCTCAATATATTAAGATTTTACTGGCCGATTTGAAACTATTAAATATACAATAATTTCTAAACGCGTGGTCAGAAATTCTACAAATATATAGATCCGTGAAACTAAAAAATTTTGAACGTGTGTAAAAATTTAAATTAAACTTGCGGTAGAAAAGAATGAAGATGCGAAATGAATATTTCATAGTTTCTTCGAGACATCCTGTATATTTGGAGCGAACAATAAAATCTAATCAGTCTCGAATTTCACTCCATGCCGCGTAATCGATTGATTGCCGTTATTGTTATTAAAAAGATCGCAGTCGGAGAACCGATGACATTGCACCTCACATATTGCAAGCGATTACGCATTTATGTCAGCTGATTCGATCGTTGAAATCACTGACAATGGCGGTCGTGAAAATTTCGGATGCCGCTTCTACTTTTTCTCCGATTTTTAATTCGAAATGGTAACATTTTATACAACGAATTTTACTGTGGGACAAGGATTATATTCTACGCAAATAAAATGAAAGGGATTTCGAAAAAATCGAAGTCAAGTTTTATGGATTTATTTAGATTAACCTTGTATCGATATATATATTTTTTTTTAATATATAATTCTTGAATATTTTTTAGATCCTTGAGTGACGAGATCCTTGAGCGAGAATGACGGAAAAAAATTTGTCTCGGAATAAATCCACATTGCGATCATTCGAGCGAATCAACTGTTTGCGTGAGCATCGGACGATTAATTACAAGCGAGATTATGTTTTAAAATTGCGGCTCATTATCGAAGTGCTTGAGCTAAGATGAAAATCTATGGAGCATGTCGTCAGGTGAGAAAAATTACACTTGTCCAATTTAAGTTCATCTTTTTAATTTATTTGGAAATAAATTGACGTTTCTCCGAGTTCCGATTGTAGTGTGCTTTCGATTTTATTAATTTATTTATTATGCTTCGTTTTCTTTTTGGAGATATCGAGAAAACATTATTTTTTTACATTATATTAAAAGAATTACAGTTATTTTTTAAGTTTTATTAAAGCGAGCAAAAGCTAATATGCCGCTTAATTATCTCTCTCGAACTAATTTGATAATTTAACTGATTTCTTCACGAAGAGTCGTAAAATTAACGATGTCAAGTGCGCATCGCGTATCAACACGATCTCTTGAGTTTCTATAATTGCAACCGGGTGTGCGATTTTCTCTCATCAATTGTCACGGTCTCTGGAGCGTTACGGTCAAATAGAAGCCTCGCTTGAATACACAATATTACTTTTATTAAACTTGTGTCACGTTGTGCCATCGATTCCATTGATTCGTACCTGCACCTATCGCGATTACATAAAGCGAAAAATTAATGATCTTGCTTTAATCACAGCGATTATGTAAGGCGGTTTAGCAGTTTAAGTGCGTATCGCAGCTTGAAAGAATTCGCTTCGCATACATTGGAAGACCTAATTAATATTGAGATTACACAAAGAGACGTGTATTTTTATATTCGCGTAAGTTTTTAACTTCTGTATTTTTTGCGACTATCATCCGGCTTCAGAGATCCAAGATAGTATTATTTTGCGAGATCATGAGATACATCCAAAATTTTTAATTGATTGAAACTTGGCGTGTTCTACTTGTGTTCAAATAGGTCTGTTGCATGACTTTACAACAAAGATAATCAGTCGGCAAGAGAGATGCGGGGAAGACTTTCGGAAAGAGTAACACGGAGATAAAGTTATACAAGATCAGAGGAGATCGGCGATAACTTTCTTGGCGTGGTATAAGCGCATAAGAACGCATTCCATGTGGTTCGATCGGCGCGGCTGCACCTTTATGGGGTGTCGCGCGGGGAAACAACCACGTTCGTTACGGTCCGCGCGTGTTCGCTCCGCTGTATGATTACGCGAAAGGAAGCAGAACCGAACATAAAATCCCGCGGAATGCAATCGGCGTGTAAAGACGATGGCAAAGCGGAGATGAATATTTTGTTGAGGTAAATTTATCTTTATATTATCGAATTCCTCGTACAAATTTTAATTTATATATTCGCGTTTCCTTCCATTATGTTATTTATTTAATTTTTAAAAATAATGTTGTAATTTTAAAGAAAGGAATCATGACTCACAAAGGGCTAATATAGAAATTATACCGAGACTAGGTGTTGCACAAGGCATACGACCGCGTGCTGAATTGTGTTTATATTCACATAGGTAGGCAGATAGAGCGGCTTTGCGTATCCTCATTCGTAACCAAATACGTCTGTACGCCGACATGGATTTCGTAGCCACACCTACGATCGTACACGGTATTCATTACATGCTCATATTCCATGCGCAATTTCCATAGCGGATACAAGTGAAATATCGATCGAAGGAATGCATTGAAGCGCACCGACAATGAGTTCAATTACGCAATAATATTCGACATACTCTCCTATAAATTGCCAAGATCTCCATATGTAATTTTTAAAGCAATGTGATGAAAATGAATTAAAATTATTTTTAATTTTTAATTCTGTTTTAGTCTCTCTCTAAAAGTTTACTTTAATTATTTTAATTTTTTTCGATATTTGTACATATGTATCATACTCTTACATATATATATATATATATATACATATACACACGCGCGGAAAAACTGATTGTGAGATTAATCGTTTGTCCACGACGGATGGCCGATGTCCATCACGATGGTGCGCGCGGGCAAATGCCATTTCGCCGATTGTATTCTCGTATTCCCACCGATCCTTTAAATGCTATATATATAAGAGATTGTCAGATAAGATAGTGACATTATGTAAGAAATAACTTGTGTTAATATTGTGAAACATACGTGAGTCGAGAAATATCGAAAAATGCGGATGAGAGAAGAATTTATATTCTTCTTTTCTGGTCGGCAATGCGAGAGGAAAGAGTAGAGATAATAATGTGGTTACCGAGTGTATTGCTACTTCCCTACGTGAACAACACGCAGTCACAACTGCAGAGAGTGCACTATACATGGCATCCAAATAATATTATTCGTGCACGTGCAATGGCGTAGCGGAGTTATGTATCCTCTAGTCTTTCTGTGGGTAACAATTTCACTTTCTTAAAGTGTTTCTTCTCTTCTCGAAGCTTTTAACTTTTATCCTTCAATAATTAATATATAAATATCAAATATAAATAGGATATAAATCATTCGGATTTAATTTTAATTTCAAGTAAAACTTTGACCGCGGAAAATTAAATTAAATATAAATTACATGTGAAATATTTATTGCTCATTACACGTTTTTAGTGCGTTCTTTTACAAAGCTGGATGCGTCTGTACTGTTTTATGATCAAGTTGTATAGTAACATGACTTAAACGGCATGAGGAAGATGAATGTCTCGTCATTCGGTATTGTGGATCACGGCCTCGCGACGGTGGGGTAGCGGCGGAAAAATTCGCGTTCAGGAAGCCGAAGAAAACGATGACGTCGCATATGGGTCAGTGGGACGTCACGTGAATGCGTGAAATCGCAAGTCAACGACCTGCTCGATGACCCGCTGACTTAGAGACACGCTTGCTTCGCCTGGGACGCGGATGAACTCGATCACCCTGTGTACATTCCTGGATGGCTTCTCGTCTGAAGGAGAAGTACGCAAAGCACGAAAAGTAGCATGGATCGCTCAAAGGCACTTATTACGGAGGAGGACGATAATTATATGCATCCTCACGAACGAAGAATTACACGGCGAGAGGAAAGAAAACACACTTCTTCTAATAATGCCAATACTTTAAAATCGGCTCGAACGGAAATGATTTTTCTGCCATTGTTTTTTCTCGAAATTTTCAATCTTCGATATTAAAATACCCGCGTTGAGGATAGTTCGCGAAAGAGTTTCTCTCAAAGACCATGTTGTGTATACCTATGGTAGGATTACTTCAACGTACGCGTATTGAGCAAGATAAGAGGCGGAGATTTTGCAAGCTGTCGTTTGCAGATATTGCAGAAACCGTTTTTAAAAGTTATCGTGAACCATGAAGCAGACGCAAAGGAGAATACCGGAAATCGCTTACGACACCTTTCCTGATCGCGCGATGGTTAATGGAAATCGAGCCGCGGAGTAGTCTAACAGTACTAAAGGTCATAAGAAAAATAACGCTCCGTAGCGTAACGTAGTGAATGATTTCCATGATAAGATCGCTGCGAGTACCTACATTGTGATTTGTGCTCGCGCGCACGTAAGAGAAAAGTATGTACATTTTATTTATGGTTGATGTGGCGAAGCATGACAGAACTCAAGGTGGATCCATGCCAATGGCGTACTATTTAACGAATAATACTTTCTGAATATATACCTGCTAATACTTAAAAATGTAATAAGCCATATATGTCTCTTCTGCAAATTTGAGTTAAGAAAAATTACAATTGAATACATTACTACTAAATGAGATTAAATTGAATGATTTAATATAATATTGATTGATAATGCCACTCTCTCTTTTAGTAAAAGATTATTGAAGATAATTGCTTATTTATAATCTAAAATGTATTGATTAAATTGTAAGCTTGCTATGTATATTCTTCGCTTCACATATTCATAAATAAAAATATTCATAAATCGAGTAATTTTAAAATCGATTTGCTTCGATCAAGAGGCAATTATAACGACGCATTAATTCTAATTCGTATCGATGAATCGCTTCCAGGCTTAGATCATCGTTCGTGCGACGTACTTTTAAATAACATTTCAATGTTGAATGCGCATTCCAGCTTCTTTAATAGCGACGGCAAAGACTATCGCGCATTCCAGGAGTTATGTGTGCCCGTGCACGTGCATGCACGCGTGCGTGTGCGAACGTGTTAGGAATATATTCTAGCGAAGAGAAGCGCCGAAGGTCGCTACGTCGGAATTTGACGAAAGAAAGGCGCGCTAAGAACCACACCGTGAAAATTAAGATATTCGCGGCGAGCAAAGGTAGCAATCGCAAATGCTAGCGTGGAGCTTTACGCGAATGAAACGGGATAAATGTCTGAGTTCTAACGGTGCTCCGACTGTGGAAGCAGCAAACATAAACTTTTTAGTTGCGTTAACGTTCGAATTTCGGGATACAATCGTGAATTTTTATATCTAAATAACTAACAAATATTAATGATTTTTTTCCAAAATCTCTTAAAATCTTTGCCTTTAACGTAATTCTTGAATTTCGAAGTTTATTATGTGCAAGGAAATGATTACCAAACATTCATTTTGTTGGCAAAAAATGAAATCATTTGGAATTCATTCCGAATAAATTTGGATTTAGAGATAAAAGCGCGTTTAAAAGTTTTATTTGTTTAGAGATTTGAAACTATATATATAAATATCACAAAAGATGACTTACCAGGGATGACTTCCCCGTTGAATGTCATCTCGACCAAGTGCGTAACCGCTTCGTGTGGCACAAACGACGCCAGGAAACGTTGACTACCTAGCGCTCTCACGAAACTTGTAACGTGTCCTCCGTTCACAAGGATCTCCAAGTTTCCCGACCCGGCTCTCGATCCGTCAACTGATAAAAAAGAAAACGTCCTTCATTATCGAATGCACTTAAAGTTTCACGACGCGCACAGTCGGATACGTACTTTCGAATTCTACCGGCTGGTTCACCACTCCGTTCGGGATACTCTCAACTTGTATAGCTCGAGCATTATACGCTTGCGATCTAAAATTTACGTAAATATCTCATATTATCTAAATTTTCTAATTTCAGTTTCTCGATAAATGTTTAGTAGAGGATGTAGAAATACCCTATTTTAATTTTAGATATTTTTAAACTTAAAATATATATCGAAATTATATACCAAAGTGTCTAAAAAACATCCTTCTCATATAATAAAGACAAGAAATAAGTATCGTTTTTGTCATTTTACAAACCTGAAGGGCGATCCATTGATGTGCTGGCCGTTTACCAGGACTTGGATGATGTGTTCGCCGACTTCCTCGGCGGTGATAGTGTACGTCAA